CTGAAGAGGGACTTCAGGAGCCTGATCGAGACGGTGCTCTCGACGTATCGACGAGGACTTGAAAGGTTCAGTAGACTTTTTGCTTTAAATGAATGGTTATTGTCATGGTGTAAAGAACAGAAACTGCTCTTTGTTAATAACTGGAATCTTTTCTGGGAGTGTCCTAGGCTTTTTCGCGCTGATGGCCTGCATCCCAGCAGAGTCGGAGCGGAGCTCATGTCGGACAACATCTCCAGGACGCTATGCACCATATGACTTGTAAGTCAAATCTCAAATAACTGCCCTGATGACTTTTGTTCTACCCGGTTAAATGATAGAAGTACTTGCGCTGTACAATCTATAAAGACTGTGTCTGTTCCCCGAATAGTGAGGTCAAAAAATAAATTTAATGCAGGATTTAGAAAGAATCTGATCGTGATTAAACCCGAAAAATGTAAAATGAATGAACAAGCAATTTTTAAAGTTTGGGCTCCTAAACATTAGATCACTCTCACCAAAGCAGTTATTGTAAATGAAATGATCACAGATAATCGTTTTGATGTACTCTGCTTGACTGAAACCTGGCTAAAACCTAATGATTATATTGGTCTAAATGAGTCTACAAATTTTGTGTGAAAACTACAAAAAAAAAAAAGGGTTAAAATGTGACATTAATGAAGCTCTGCTGAAGATTTGAATTACATAAAATACTCTGCTTGCTACAAAGAGAAACACCCTACACTTTTTGGTAGATTTTGCTTGTGTCTGCGGCTTTCCATGCTTGGCTTTTTATAATGGAAGTCATACTTTATATATTTGTCTTTGATGAAAAAAACATTTTCCTTTCCAACATGTCAGAAATATGACAAATATGTTTTCACTGGCACGTTTGGTTTGCTCTCAGTTTGATTAGCTTTGGCCCTCATTCACATAAATTACTATTGGAATCAATGCTAAATCTCCTGTTAGCTAAACTTCCCGCTAATCTCTTCACATTCACTAAAACATGCTCCCTGTTTAAACACCCATAATCCATCTGGATTCGGCCAGGATTCAGTGTTTTCATCCACAGAGGAGCTTAACTCTGTATCACAGCTCCGGCACAAATGTCAAAACCACAAAATCACCCTGAGCGCCTTTATTCTGACACTACAACCAGATGGCTAGCATTGCAATCATGCTAATATTGTCTCCAACACACAAACATGGTCACCTCTGCCCAATCCCTGCGTGATGGGATTACTTACACCAGAGTGAATAAGATAGATCAGCCACAGAGCAGAAACAGTAGTTACACAGAAAGAGATTCTACAGAGATTCAATTCTCAATGATCGGCTACGTTCATTTAACATAGTCTGTAAGCAGCACAATCTTGGCATCTGAACAGAGGGAGAATCTGAAGATATACAGATTCAATTTGCCGCCATAGCAAAAGCTGTCTCTGTCTCACATCTGATAGCGCCCCGGCTTCCCAATCTGCAACAAATGCACTTTACAAGGAATGGTGCACACCGAAAAAGTTCCCTTTTTGTAAATACAGAACATTATGGCTTTTATTTTTATGTGGAGCATCAGCATAACACTTCATTAGCATAAGATAATGGGAAAAAGCAAACAAACACAATAGGAGTCATAGAAATAAATAATAAAAAAAAAACAGTTGTGACTTTTGCTAGTAATTGCAACTTTATATCTCACAATTGTTTTTTTTCCCTCACAATTGATACTTTACTGTTGACAAAACTGGCACTGTAAATCACTAAGAAAAGTTGGACAATATAATAATTTTCATATATAATAAATCGCTTGTGCCTCAGAGCGAGCAGATGAAACACAACGAATAAACATTCATTGCTTTCGGAGGTGGATGCTGCTGTTTGGGAACGCAGTCATGTAAGACATTTCTGGGAGGCAATTATACAGAAATACTTTGAGACTTTGCTTGTGCATTTCCGAATTACCATAACAACATTTCAGATGCTGTGGAATGAGATCGGTCCGCTGTTTAGTAAGGTTTTGCCATCCCTTAGCGCAGTCACATTATTTTTTTGATGCACTTGGAGGAATTTATTCGCAAAATGCGTTTCCATCTCCCATTATTCGCATCAACCCTTTTTCGCACAAGTCAAAAACCACCTCAAGCTATTTTTTTGCGAATTAAAGCAATTTCGAAATTGGGCGTTTCCATCACTTGTTTCTCATGCGATACTTCAAAATGCGAATTAAAATAGGGTGATGGAAACATAGCTAGTGACAATGCGCCAACAGACAAGACAGAGCAGGTTACTTCTGGTATGAAACAAAGTCTCAGCTTTCAAATTCTGTCACTTTTTAATAAATTCAAACAATAAATACCGTTTTGTGTGGTGACAGATCAGTGTAGCGCCTCAGTTCAAGCGGCACTTGAACTGATCATATCTCTACCTCTTTACGAGTTATAGCACGGAATAAACATAAATGAACATCAGAAGAAGGTATGTTGTTTCAACTGCGGAAACTAACGTCAATACACACAATTTTTCAAGTTGTAGTCCACCGACGTTAATCTACTCTCCTGTCTGGCTGTCTGACTAAAATGGCAGATCCGATGTTGTGATTGGTCAGATTGCCAATCTCTGACTTTATATTTTACAAATGGCATTTTTTTCTTGTAATTGTGAATATATCTCACAATTGCAATTGCTAATTATATTTAATAATAAATGCTTTTTTTCACATTATTGTGACTATCTCACAACTGGTGTTTTTTTCTAGTATTGACCATTTCACAATTGCCGTTTAAACATTTTTTTTTTCTTATAACTGACATTTTACTTCTGGCAATCTGACTTTATATCTCAATTGGCACTTTTTATCTCATAATAGTCACTTTAAATCTCACAAAAAAATTTTTTTCAAATAATTGTGACTATATCTCACAATTAGCCTTTTTTCCCCTTATTTGGGATTTTAGATCTCGCACTCGTGACTTTATATCTGAGAATTTGACTCTTGCATCTCACAATTTTGCCTTTTTTCTTAATTGTGACTTTATATCTCCAAACTGTGAGTTATTTCTGTGATTGGATGGGTAGTGTTTCATAAGAACCTGGGTGGAGCTCAGCCAGTCTTGCCCACCTGGAGTTACATGGCTGATCAGTGTTAATATTACCTGCGTGACCAGATAAACTGAATATGATTCTTTTTCAGCAGTTAGAGTGTCCATTTATTGAGAGGCGTGTCTAAGAATTTTGATGTAACATATGCCAAAAAAAAACTCAGCTGAAGAAAAAGCGAGAGAGAGAGAGATTGAAAGCAAAAGAGAGTGAGATAATCCATTTTAATAGAGGACCAGCGGGCACAGTCAGGCTCAGGTGTGACGGGGACAGAACGGGCACACACACACACACACACACACACACACACACACACACATGTAATTATTTTATTACATAAATTGATCTAAAGAATATTATACTCTTTCATAAATTTATAAGTACATTAACAAAATACACTTTGCAATAATGTCAAACTAAAAGTTGTACTGTAAATAAATTTTAATTCATTGTTTCAATAATCTTTCACACACACACACACACACACACACACACACACACACGACAGTGCTAGAGGCTTTGCATGGCAATGGAGCAGGTGGGTGAGATGATAAAGGGAGTGATGGAGAGAGATATACATTGTGTCATCACTAATACCTTCATATTTTTGATTGTGTAAGATATTTATCTGCCTCCTACACTTCTGTAGCCATTAACCTCATTTATAAACCAACTCACAAGCTGGTTCCTGTGAAATATAGTGCAGTATTTTGTTGTGTATGATTCAGACACATATGCAGCTCTTAATTGCATTATGATGTCCTATGATAAATCTAGAGCTGTTCTAAACAGGCAGTGAACTATTAAATTAAGGCAGCGGCTATTTACACTAAATCTAAAATAGCAGCATTGATAATAATAATAAGACATGTTTCTTGAGCAGCAAATCAACATATTACAATGATTTCTGAAGAATCATGTGACATTGAAGACTGGAGTAATGATGCTGAAAATTCAGCTTTACCATCACAGTAATAAATGACACTTTAAAATATATTAAAATAGAAAAAAGTTATTTTAAACTGGAATAATATGTATCACTAATACAGCATGTATGTGTGGTTTAATAATGGAAATCACAAGTCAGAGACGTGTATGAACCATTAATATCAGATGTTTGATGAACTTTTCTCTTCTTCCTGCAGAGATTATGAATGATGTTATCAAGAAGGTGAAGAAGAAGGGAGAATGGAAGGTAAGACAAACTCATTCACCCCATCACTATAGCAACTACGCTATCCTTATGTCACCTCACCACAGTTTTAATCTTTCATTGAGTCCCCGAGTCACAGACAGGAAATCAGTGTGAATAATTAAGCCCAAACAATTTCATCCATCTTATACTGCCTGTATCACACCACATGCATATTTATTTTGGTGCCCATATTAATAAATGACAGTTTTCACACTGCCTGCATAAGCAGCGTGGTACTGTGGGTTGAAACAGCCCTTACGGTTGCAGTAATGTGCGTCTCTGAGACTCTCCCATTATTTCTGCTCTCTCTTTTTCTCTGTAGGCTTTGATAGTGGACCAGCTCAGCATGAGGATGTTGTCTTCTTGCTGCAAAATGACTGATATCATGACAGAGGGCATCACTAGTAAGTCAATCCTCAGGTTTTGACCCCCAGTGAAGTAAAAAGTTCCCCTTTGTTGCTAACAATTAGTCTAAGGCTCATAGGACACAAAAATATCTCAATTCAGAACTGATCTCTAAACCTGAAACTTTCATATAAATGCTGGAAAATGGTGACCAGATGGAAATAAACATCTCATATCAACAACCTAAACATTTTATTTGTAATTTTTTTTAAGTTTAATTTTTTATATATATATATATGTTTTCTTATTTATTTACAGTTAATAAGTTGGTTTCAACACAAATTGATTTCAGTTAGCTGCCAAGGCAACATTTCAAATATTTGAAGTTAAAGGTTTTCATCTAATATTTATATTTTATTTTATTTCAGCTTTATTTCAACTAACCAAAAGGTTAATGGATATAACCCTGTATCAGAGAAGCTGCTTCTGTGACTGACTTGCTGTTTCTACTCTTATCTCTGCAGTTGTTGAAGACATTAACAAGCGAAGAGAGCCTCTCCCTTCATTGGAGTCAATTTACCTGATCACCCCAACTGAGAAGGTACTCAAACACACTGATTTTAGAAGAGGCTAAAATAAAACCTCCAGCATAGACTTCGTCTCTCAGTGTGGAGGCGGAACCTTCATACTGTACACACTAAACATATGTCACTCACTAACACACATATACTGTATATACTGTATATATATACACACACAGTATTTACACAGCCTACACAAACAGCCTGAAACTCTTATTTCTACTGGCCATTTTGGTTACTATAACAACACAAAACACAGTGTTATCTAAAGCTTATTGTATTTCTCTTACCAGTCTGTGCAGACTCTCATCAATGACTTCAAAGATCCCCATTCAGCGAAATATAAAGCGGCTCATGTGTTCTTTACTGACTGTGAGTATCTGAGGGTACTCTACTGTACTTCAAGAGCCCTGCAAGCATAATACACACTGGGACCACACTCAAAACTAGACTACTACACAAGCAATCAGCAAGACAATGTTTTTAATGAATCTTACTTAAACACAATGCTGTGTAACATCAGATCTAAAGGCAAATCAGCGCTTTCCTATGACAACTATAAATTAACTGAATTATTTTGGAGTTAATCATAAAGTAATGTGCTGTTACAATTAGTCTGACAATTAATTATTTGTTACTTTGTTACAAAAATAAATAAAAAGGAAATAAAATAAAATCTTAAGTGAGAAATACAGAACATTTAAAAAAATCATAAATGAAGCACTTAAGAAACAAAGTATAACAAAAATAAAAAAACTAAAATAAATATATACACAAAATACATTAAAAAAAAACTTAAAACTGCATCCATGATACGTATTATTTATATTTTGTATACATGTTGTAAAAGAAAATAATAAAAATATTTATATATATATATATATATATATATACATTCTATGTACATTAAAAAAATCTAAAAGTGTAAATATGCAATATATTTTGCAGCTGATATATTTTTGACATTAAATTATATATATATATAATTAACGTTAAACATATATGCGTATATATTGCACACTGTATCTATTATTTATAAGTTTATATATTATATAATATAAATGTACAAATATTTTGTATATAAAAGTGTAAATATGCAATAAATATTGCAGCTGATTTTCTATTGGAGATTTTATTGCAGAAGTATTGCATGTGATTTTGGAAATATTTTATAATGTATAACATGTCAAAACCTCAATAAACTGCTGTCATTGCTTGAAATGTTATGTCAACTACCCATGTGTTTCTTACAGCTTGCCCGGACCCCCTTTTTAATGAAGTGGTGAAGAGCCGTGCCTCGAAAACCATTAAAACCCTAACTGAGATCAACATCGCCTTCCTGCCCTATGAGTCCCAGGTGAGCCATTTCAGGAGGGGAGAGGAAGTGAGAGATATAAATATATAGGAATAATGACTGTCCGTATAGAGAACTATCCAGAAGCAACTAAGTGAATGCAGAAATGGAGTGTTCCAGAACAGCTCTGATGCTGGGGGGATGCAGTCTGGCCCACAATGCCTTGCTGCTTAGGCTGTCTGCTATGATTAATTCAGTGGAGTCAGAGGAGCAGTGCGTTTCTCCTGGCGTGATGCTGCTGCTCAATGCTTCGCAAACCCACCTCGTTCAGCAATGCGTAATTGGCCGACGCAGCATCCACAGAGAGCCTCGGCCAATCAGAGGAGGCTATGAGAGAAAACAAACATCAAGGGGAACCCATCTGCTGAACAGAAGGATGGTCATGTGACCCTGTGTGTGTCGATAGGGGGTGGGGAGGGGTGGTTGTGAAGACCTATACAGATAGACTGTCTGACACAGTCAGAGATAAAGCACGGATTCGGCCACAGGAAAACACAAAGGCAGGAAGGAAAGGAATGAAAGCACAGACTGGAGACAACTCACTAACTCGAGGCTCATTCCTCAGGCTAGTTTGGAAACAGGAAGTAGAGAGGAACACATTTTGTCACATTCAGACAAAATCATAAAAATGTATTTATTTATAGAAATGTATAATCTATTTATTTATATAAAAATATGGAAAAACATACACTACCATTCTTTTTAAAGAAATTAATGCTTTCATTCAGCAAGGATGCATTAAATTAATCAAAAGTGATCATAATAACCAATGTTTCTTGAGCATATTAGAATGATTTCTGAAGGATCATGTAACACTAGAGACTGGAGTAATGGTTGCAGAAAATTCAGTTTTGCATCACAGGAATAAATTACATTTTAAAATACATCAAAACAGAAAGTAATTGTTTTAAATTGTAATAATAATTCACAATATTGCTGGTTTTACTGTATTTTTCGATCAACTAAATGCAGCCTTGGAGAGTATAAAATATTTCTATATATAATAGCAAATAATAAAACATTTTAAAAATACTTTGAAAATAGAAACTGCATTGTTTATTACCATATAGAATTTATTTAGTTTTTCTGCTTTTTTCTGGGGGGTTTCTATGCAACTCATGGTCTATTATAGTGATAAATGTACTTTAGAACAGTGTTATTTTTGTATAATTGAGATACTATTATAGTTTTTATTGATATTTTTATTTTTATATATTCCGCTTTCATTTTAATGTTGACGTTTTAGTCATTTTATTGTTTTTTATGCAATTTTAGTAGTTTTGTCCATGTCTTTACATTGTTTAGAGCATTAAAAATAATGTAAAAAAAGATATTTCATTCATAAGTTATGCTATGTCCTCGGTAGACTCAATTTCTATAAAAAAAAATAAAAATACATGAACATGCATAGGCAAAAAAAAATTTATTTTTTAAATCACCAATACATTTTTAGTTTTCAAGATTTTTTTTGATCAAACTTTGTATAAAGATGATTCTCAACTATGTTATAACAGAATGATTCGATATACTATTTTTCTTTCTGCAAAATGTGTGTAAAATGGCCATAAACAGGTTTTCTCATTATATACAATGTATCTATAAACTAAATCTAATTTGCATATTAATGTGTTTTTGGGGCAACATGTAATGAAAAAACAAGTGTAATAATGGGAGTAATAATTTAAAAAAAAAAATTAAAATACATGAACATGCATAGGCAAAAAAAAATTATTTTTTAAATCACCAATACATTTTTAGTTTTCAAGATTTTTTTTGATCAAACTTTGTATAAAGATGATTCTCAACTATGTTATAACAGAATGATTCAATATACAATTTTTCCGCAGGGTCTTAAGAGGTTAGTACAGTTGCCTTGGCAACTTGCTGAAATAAAAGTTTTGAATTTTATTTCAGTTCATGTTTATTTTAAGTAACAAAAAAGTATTTTTTTTATGGTTCTAAATTTCGTTTCACTTTTACTCAACTATAATAGCACAGTTTTAGATGAACCCGCATGTAAAAGCAAAGCAAAAAGATGCAAAATGTCAGCTGATCACTTTGCCTGTCCACATTATTGCTCTATTAGAAGTATGAATGTGTGTATGTGCGTGTTTAGGTGTTCTCTTTGGACAATCCTGATGCCTTGCAGAGTTTCTACAGCCCTCATAAGACACAGCTGAAGAACTCTGTGATGGAACGGTTGGCCGAGCAGCTGGCAACTCTGTGTGCCACACTGAAGGAATACCCTGCCGTCCGATACCGAGGGTAAGGCACGAGGGGCCACGATGGGACTGCATCTGCCTCTTAATATTTTGTAGAGTCTTCAACTATCATCTTTATAACTGATCTGTTCCTATATCTGATCTGTTTCGATGGTGCTGTTTCATGTGCAATCATATTTATCCAACACACTTACAGCAGGAACTAGTGTAGAAGACAGATGCCCAGTCATCTCTGAATCAGATTTCAGGAAGTGGCAACAGGATCAACAGAGATGTCTATTGTTCTGTCTGTCTGTTCTAATACACTGATTTTCTATGTACAGGGAGTATAAAGATAACGCCACTCTGGCTCAGTTGCTTCAGGACAAACTGGACGCCTACAAGGCAGATGATCCCACAATGGGGGAGGTGAGAGACACATCTCAGTTATTGCACTACAGGGAGAGACAGGAGTTAATACATGTACATAGGAATACTCTAGAACAAGGGGTACATGTACCTCAGGGGGAACATAAGCAGCTTTCAGAGGGTTCTTGGAAAGATTTTGATTTTGTTAAACCCATAAAACAGAAATTATGACTATTAGGGTTGTCAAAGGTTAAAGTCAAAGAAATCAAGCATGAAACCAAAAATTCAATCAATCAATAAATCAATCATTGTTTGTGCAATCTGTAGCAAAATGTAATAACTTATTCTTCCTCTGAAACGACTTCAGGACTTCCATATTAAGAAATTAAAGCTGCTTCTTTCAGCCTTATTCCTGCCCACATTATTATTATGTTTGTGGGGGGCTTTGTTAATCAAAGAACGGTTTGTGCTGATCATGGAGTACATTTTTTGATTTTTTATCTCTCTGCAGGGTCCAGACAAGGCTCGCTCCCAGCTCATTATTCTGGACCGAGGTTTCGACCCTGCCTCTCCTGTCCTGCACGAGCTCACCTTCCAGGCTATGGCCTATGACCTGCTGCCCATTGAGAATGATGTCTACAAGTAAGTGAAATAAATATATATATATTTTTTAAATGATTTTGAAATATTATTGACTATATTAAATTATTATCTGATCATATGTTCTATAAATATATTATAATAAAATACTATATAAAATAATATTAATAATATATGTAATTAAAAATATTTTTTAATAATAATTACTAAAAGTTAACATATTATTATAATATATTATATTATATATATATTTAAAAAAAATATATATATATATATTTAAAATATTGTAAAAATATTTGATAGAAAATTATGCAGGTGCATTATTACAAAGGGATCATTATTAGCAAATACTTTCATTATAATGAATCGGCCAAGGATGGTTATATAGAGTATATCATATACAAATATTTGTTTGTTTTGTATCTGGTAGGTATGACACCAGTGGGATGGGAGACTGCGAGAAGGAAGTGCTACTGCATGAAGACGACGACCTCTGGGTGGCGCTACGGCACAAACATATTGCTGAGGTCTCTCAGTGAGTAAAACCGTACATTTTTGGCCTTAAGCTCTGGTTTTCCTGTAATATTCTCTGTCTGTTAATGGTGACATCCCTGTTCTCTCCCTCCTTTCTCATTTCCCTCGCTGGCAGGGAGGTGACGCGCTCCCTGAAGGAATTTTCTGCCAGTAAACGGATGAATACTGGAGAGAAGGTACGCTGGAGTCCGGCTGAGTGGGGAGGGGCCTGGAGCAGAGAATAAATGAGTAGAACAGAGAGAATAGTGTAACGTAGGCGAAGGAGGATAGCCTGGCAGATGAAATTACGTTGCCAGCCAAATCCAAACCGTGATGGCTGACTCATGTGAAAGCACTCTGAGGTTACAGCAGGATTAGTATTGATTGACTTACTGACACAGCACAAGCAAACACACACATTTCTGCTGTGACGTACTATTTGCAATAGTGTATGGTCTGATAAACCATAAGAGATTTTATATTGCACCGTATCTGTGTACCTACTTTGGCCTACTGGATCTGAGACGTGTCTTGAGGCAGTATCTGACCTTTTTTGTTTTCCTTTCTGAGAAAGTCCTGTGTTTTTTCCAGACCACCATGAGGGACCTGTCTCAAATGCTGAAGAAGATGCCACAGTACCAGAAAGAGCTCAGCAAGGTGAGAGAGGTCAAAACGCATGTGCAGTCAGCCAAACAAGAGACTCCTCATGGGAAATGCAGATCTGATATCTACCTCATTGACCCTTAAAATCTCTGCCCCTTTAGTACTCGACCCATCTGCAGTTGGCCGAGGATTGCATGAAGCACTACCAGGGAACCGTGGACAAGCTGTGCCGTGTAGAGCAGGTACAATTTCACCACAGACATAGGATAGGATAGGAGTTTTGTGACAAAGAAAACAGTAGCATATGCACCTAAGTTTAATTAATTAATTAAATATGTTTCACACAATGATTTTAACATTCACAAAATGTGATGTTATTATTATTATTAATAATATGAGGTTGATTACATTTTTAAAAAAATATTCATATATTTTTTTAACTATTTATTCCATTCAAAACTAATGCTAAAATATTTTAAATATTACAATTTATATATATATATATATAATTCAGATAAAATGATAATAATAATAATTATTATTATTATATAAAAGCCAATTATTGGAAACAATTTAATTGTTTTAATTGTTTAATTGTTGTCTTAATAAAAAGACAAATGTATTTCAAATGTACTTTGTTCCTAATAAACCAACCAAAAAGATTTAATAATTGCAAATGATTTGTAAATAATATTTAATAAAAATTAACTTACATATACATACATATAAATATGAAAACAGAAAATGTACATTATCCACATGCATTATTACAAAAACAGGAGCTTTTGTTAATCAGCCAAACATAGTTATATAAAGTAAAAAATGGCAAAACTTAAGCTGATTAATCACTCTTTCAAACATAATAGTCTAACTAGTTAGTTGGTTCGTCTATTTGCTGGAAAGTCCGGTATGTGAAATAATATATATATTATATATAAACCTACTAAACTTGCAAATGTATATAATTGGATATATTTTATGAGCCAGGTCACATTTTATTTTGTGATTTGATTAATTCATTTGACTGTAATACTACTAAACAGTGCTATAATCATCCATACCTCCTCTATTTTTGGCTTCTAGTAGATTAAAAAAGACATTTCTCATGGGCCATTCATTCTATTTCTATGGCGGTGGGGGGACATAACACAGGAGCTGCTCGGAAAAGTTACCCACTAGGTCACGATTCATTTTCAATGAGGGGGTGAACAGAGCGGAGAGCAGGTGCAATGAAACTGCCACAATGAGCGATAGAGTATGGAGTGCGTGTCTAAAAGCTGTCCGCAAAGAAGGCTACCTCCTCTTCTATATTACCAGGATTTAACCACTGGTTAAATTGATCTAACTATGATAATGAAGGGCAAACCATGGTGTTACCAGTAGCTAAACTATGGTGACTAAAACTGACTATTCATAAACTATGGTAAATTCATGCAAGTGAAAGAACAAGTATCTGTTATTTAGTATTTACTAACCAGTAAGAAATGTATTAGTATTGATTCTAAAATGATCTGAAAGCATCACATCATTTAGTTTTTATTGCTTCCAGTGTGCTAAGCATAATTAATGAACTGTGCTCTGTCACCCGGCAGGATCTGGCAATGGGAACAGACGCAGAGGGCGAAAAGATTAAAGACCCCATGAGAGCCATCGTGCCGATCTTGCTGGACGCCAACGTCAGCACCTACGACAAGATCCGTATCATCCTGCTCTATATTTTCCTGAAGAACGGTTAGAGTCTTTGGCAGCCATTTTATACCTCAGTTTGGGTTTCATTGCCCTGATCAGCCATTTTGTAACGTGGCTTTGCGTGTGCATGTGTTACAAAACAGGGATCACGGAGGAGAACCTTAATAAGCTGATTCAACACGCCCAGATCCCTCCTGAGGATAGTGAGATCATTACCAATATGGCTCATCTGGGTGTCCCAATCATCACAGATGTACGCAATCTGATTCTTGTCCTAAGCAATGGTTAAGTCTGCTTGGCTGTTGAAGCAGTTTCTCTGACCTGCCATTGACGTTTCTGCTTTGTTTCTGCAGTCTACTCTCCGCAGAGGCAAGAAGCTTGATCGTAAGGAGCGTGTGAGCGAGCAGACCTACCAGCTTTCTCGCTGGACTCCACTCATAAAGGATATCATAGAGGTCAGTCCTGAGCTGTAGAATTTGACAGAGAAACTGTGCGCAGACTGTGTGGTCTCACCTTGTTTGTGAATGTGGTTCCAGGATGCTATCGACGAAAAGCTGGACACCAAACATTATCCGTACATCTCGACACGCTCGTCTTCTTCCTTCAGCACTTCTGCAGTCAGGTACGCACGCTCACCAACTGAGCTGATTTTCAGGCTCCCTTTCAAATAATGAGGAATTCAAATTGGCCACACTTATAGGAAGGGGAATTCACCAAACTGCAAAAAAATTATTGATTTTGCAGGTGTTTTGTCTTGTAAACCTGCTTTATGTTATTTGGGTCTGATTTAAAGATTTAAATTAGAGATATATTAGGGCATTCTGGGGAATGATGTGTTAACATTAGTTAACAAAATTAGATAAACAAAACAAATTCTAAAGCACTTATTAAACTTAATGTGTACTTATACATAATTAAAATAAAAATGTTTAAATTTTTTATTTAATTAACAGTTGTATTTTTTATTAATGAACATTAACAAGGATGAATAAATAAATAATTTAACAAATATATTGCTCATTATTAGTTAATGCATTAACTAAATTTAACTAATGGAACCCTATTGTAAAGTGTTATCTTTTTTATTATTTCATCATAATCTCAATTGTAAAACCCAAGAAAATTAAATTAATTTTAAATGAATGAAAGCAATACTATACTAAACTCCTTTAAATATCCAACCGTTTCAATTACACTTCTTTACATTCAAATTTATTAGAATTTGAATTTCAAAGGCAACTCTAACACACACACACACACACACACAAAATCCCAATACACAGGTGTATTCATGCATTTTTGTATTGTACAAGTCAAAAGATAGAAGCATCTTGGATCGATAATCATTTGTGTACCAAGGGGTGGGAAGAACATTAAGATCAATACCGTGATTGGTGGGTGGTGCGACGTGAGGTGGGGGTGAACACCAAGTTTCTTGACCCTGGTATATTTCCTCAGGGTCAGCAGTAATGATCCCGCCGCACTGTTCTGCTTTCAGGACAAACAAGCTAGCACAGCTACTGTAAACAGTAGCAGAGGCAAAGCAGGACGTCCCTGACTCCCACAGAGGGAGAGCTGGGAGCTGATGGGTCCCATTGTGTAGCTATTGATTAGACTCGAGATCAGCAGTGTTCACGCTGATTTCCCCTCTCATTATGCTTGCAAATAACTCTGCCGTTCCTTGAAGTTATGATTCAGCCAAAAATGAAAATTCTGTCATCATTTACTCACCCTCAAGTTGTTCCAAACCTGTAAAAATTTCTTTCTTCTGTTCAACACAAAGTAAGACATTTTGAAGAATGTTGGTAGCTCAAGCAGATGCTGGTAGCCATTGACTTCCAAAGTATTTTTTTTTTCATACTATGGAAGTCAATGCCTACCAGCAACTGTGTAAATTATGATAACATTTTCATTTTTGGGTGAAATATCCCTTAAAAGGAATGCTCTGTTTCATTGGTTTTATCATATGCAAATAACACGGTACTTTGATATATGCCATAATGTAGGCATTTTTGTATTGTAAGTTTTCTAAACAGTTGTTTAAATATGCAAATGAAGCATTAAATAATTAAATATGAACTAAACCAGGTTGTTGATATATCAAAGTCAAATGTTTTTAAAGAGAGGATTTTGGATATATCTTTTTATCACACAAATAAATAAAAAAAAGAGCCAGAAGAAAAAACAAAAACGTGTTTTTAATTATACAATGTATAAAATCAGGCAAATGATTTATGAACAAATCAATTTGTAAAAACCTTCAGAATATAGATGGGAATAAAACTGTAAAATTTGGTGTATGTAAGTGCTGCTGAAGTGGAGACTGTGGCTCCTAAATCTAAATCTGAGAAAAATTGCCTTTAAAGATATGTATTGTAACTGAAAGCTACAGACGCAAACAGATAAACACTTAAAAGTGTATTTTGGATGTTTTCTTTCCACTAGTCTGAAACACCAAAAAAAACAGTGTAGTCTCTACCTGTTGCCACTAGAAGGCCATAAATGCTACTGAAATTTTCATTTTTTGTGAACTATTCCTTTAAAGGAATTACGAGTTCGGATTAAGATTATGGACGTTTGGTCACTCTGCAAATTACTGTCCGTGTGAACGCCCCTTTAGAAGTGAATTTGAAAGTATCTAGTAAAGCAAAGTATCAGTCTGTTGTTTTCCAGAAGCAATTTGACCATTGACGATTTTACATTAACACTGAATTTCTAATTGGTGGATTTGGGCGACTTGCACAATGCATGAGGTCTATTAGAGATGAACGATGCATCTGAAGGACCTCAATGGGACAATTGGCTGTACTTCTAATTTAGTTCGTTTAGTTGATTGAAGGAGGCCCCATCACCGATACATCCAACAAGAGCTTCCAAAAATCATTTTTTGTCGGGGTTCTAGGATGATATCAAATTTTCATTTTTTGTGAACTATTCCTTTAAAGGAATTACGAGTTCGGATTAAGATTATGGACGTTTGGTCACTCTGCAAATTACTGTCCGTGTGAACGCCCCTTTAGAAGTGAATTTGAAAGTATCTAGTAAAGCAAAGTATCAGTCTGTTGTTTTCCAGAAGCAATTTGAGCATTGACGATTTTACATTAACACTGAATTTCTAATTGGTGGATTTGGGCGACTTGCACAATGCATGAGGTCTATTAGAGATGAACAATGCATCTGAAGGACCTCAATGGGACAATTGGCTGTACTTCTAATTTAGTTCGTTTAGTTGATTGAAGGAGGCCCAACAGTTATTGAGTTTTCCATCACCGATACATCCAACAAGAGCTTCCAAAAATCATTTTTTGTCGGGGTTCTAGGATGATATTTCTGAAACATCACGATCTACAGATGATGGAAATGGTATTTAACCCTCTTTTGTCCCCATAAAGATTAACGGTGGTGAAAGAACGTGAGGTGCGGTGTGAGATACATTCTGAGCGTGAAGCCACCTTTGTTCCTCCGCAGGTTCTACTCACACGCTCACCCCAACCAAATTTCTAATGGACCTGCGGCACCCCGACTTCCGAGAATCCACTAGGGTGTCCTTTGAGGACCCTGACCCCTCAGACGAGTGAGAGAGAGAGAAAGAGGGAAGGGTGGGAGAGAGAAATCACACTCTGACAAAGTAAAGGCAGCCGAACAAAGAAACCCTTTCTGAACCCCCACAGCACAAGGGCTTTCTTTTCTTGCTCCTGTTACCACACTTTACTGTTTTACTACGCCACCACGCCTCAAGGATGGGTGTCCGGCTCCTGCCTCCAATCTGCAAGTCTCACTCAGGCTCCGCCTTCTACTGGGACCCGCCAATATTGATATGCCTCCACTTATGAGAAACAATTGGCCGGCTGAACGTTTCATTCAGAACTGCAGTGGGCGGAGCCTTTTTTGAGTGACAGATGCAGTAGGAGTCCTGACCCCATCCCTGTTGACCGCATCCTCTCAGTTGGGTGGATTAAACTGCATTCTCCTCACTATGCACCTTTTAATTAAATGGAGTCTCCTCTTCTGACGAGGAAAGGCTTCCTCCATTTGCCCTTCTAAATATCATTATTTTTAAAGCTTCATTTTCCCGCAGATTTAATCTACCCTTAAGACTCACCATATTGCGATTATTTCTGAATAACAATCTAATACAGTCACTCATATTAACTTTGTTTTTCCCCCTCTGGAGAGGTAATTGATGTCAATTGCAGGATAATTAGATTTTGTTTTTAATCTAGTTCCTCAAACTACCTCACATCACGTCTACATGACCAAGTGGCCGTCTGCAAAGAATATATGTTAAAATTACTTCCGCCAGACAGTGACTGGCTCTTTTCCTTCTTTATAATTATTCTGCAGATGCCAAAGCTTGAAATGTAGCTGTGTTCTTCAGATATGCTTTAGCACTAACGCTTCTCCCAAACACTAACATTTTGAAACTAACTTGTTTGGGCCCTTTACATCATTTTTCAGAAACCTTCATGTTATACCCCAGGTCTTGTTTTTTTGCATTCAAAATAACTTACTAGACTATTAAATAGTTGATTATAAAGCTGACCACAACAGCCTCATGCTAATAAATCAATGCAATTTGTGGTTCATGACTGGTACTTAAAAATAGAGGATGTTTTGAACAAGCTTAGCAACACTTTATATTACAAGACTGTAATTCCTGTGTGTGCAGGCCTGTGGTTACATTAAATGTTATGCATTTCTCATTGTAATTTGTTTAAAACCTACCATTAGCTCTTACAGGAATGTTCTGGGTTAATGTTCTGAGTTTATGACATACTCTCAATTACCACAGGAAATGATTTTAACTCTTTTGGAAGAACTTTCTAAACTCATGTTTACAGTAATGCTCTTATAATGGAAGTCGATGGGGTATTGCAGTTCTGAAAGTACAGCCATTAGACATGAACATTTTATGTATACCTTGTCTGGTATATGTTTATATACACTATTTTAGTCTTTTAACCCCTTTGGAATACCTTGCCCCTTAGACTTCCATTGTAAGAGCGTTGCAGCACAAATTTGACACTGAAGCATTAAGAGTAACTATAACATTTATAAGCCAACAAATGCACACAAAGGAGGTCCTGTAATACAAAGTGTCCTTCCAAATACCTTTACTGACTAAACCATTGTACAAGAATGATCATTGCTTAGCCCTATCAAGTATCCATCTCTCAAGTGTCAGGCTGCTAAAGCAATATCCCTTTTGATTTCCCCTTTTTCTGTTGTTTTTTTGTGTTCGTAAATGATCACACCATAAGCAGTATGCCAGTCCTAACCCATACTGCAACATGAAACATTTCTTGACTGTTCCAGCCATTATTGAACAATAATATGCTTTGTTTTCATGGATCTTTAGTTTAGACCCGTTCATCTAGTTGAAGAGCTACAAATCACATTGTGAATCTGATTAGCAAAACTGCGTGTTTGCATTTAGTTGGCCCAGTAGATTATATCAGCTGCGTTTAGAACCAGACAATTGAGTTGCCTGTTCAAAGCTAGGCTTGCAACTACACATTCAGTTCTACTTGCATAGCAATGTAAGATTAATTTGCCTCTCAAACAAGTACATTTTTAATCACTTGATCTTTTTATTGCAAAAGACTACTTGTAGTAGTGTGAACATGCAGCTTTGCTAAAAATATTGTTGTTTAACTAGGAGTAGAATAAACATTTGTTCCACAGGGCACCAAAAATAAAAAAATATTTCGGTGTGTACCCATGTTTTTGTTTTTTGAGGTGACCCTGTTGCACAATTGTTTTTGGATAGTTTGAATGTACAGTATTTGTGATGTGTTAGAAATGTGTCTTCAGCTAAATATCTAATCAAATTGAAATATTTGCTTATTTTGAAATTTGTATATTTTCAGATTCAAAGCAAAATCTTAATAATTAAAATATACGTGCATAAAGTACCATTAAAATGGGTTGGCCGTTTTTTTTTTTTTTTTTAAATGTTTTTGATATTCTCTTATGCTCAACCAGGGCTGCATTTATTTGATTAAAACTACAGTAAAAACAGTAATATTGTGAAATATTACTATTTGAAATAATGGTTTTCTATTTTAATATATAAAATGTAATTTATTCCTGTGATGGCAAAGCTGAATTTATTACTCCAATCTTCAGTGTCACATGATCCTTCAGAAATCATTTTAATATGCTGATTTGCATTTGCAAGAAACATTTCTTATTATTATCACAGCTGGAAACGGTTGTGCTGTTTAATATTTTTGTGGAAACCATGATATTTTTTTTCAGTATGCTTAGATAAATAGAACATTTAAAAGAAAAACACAATTTTGATCAATTTAAAGTGTCCTTGCTCAATAAAATTAATTTCTTTAAAAGAAAATCTTTCTGACCCTTTTGACTTTTGAACAGCAGTATATATGATGTATATGTATATATATATATTCATTACTATTATTAATAATATATATTTTCTACAATATTATAGATATGATATAGATATAGATAGATAGATAGATGGCTAGCTAGATAGATACACAGCTGAAAACACATTTAAACATGCTTACAGTTAATGTACAAATTTAATGAGTTTTTCCTCTTTGTTTCTCTCCTCGGTGCTCATTTATGCAGGTTCGACCCATATCGTCGCCCCCACCCAGCTTCTGGATGCTCTCAAGGCCATGAACAAACCCGACGAGGAGCAGACAAGCTAAAATCACAATTTCCTTCCCCCCAACCCCATCGCCCAGTTACCCTCTCCCTCCCTTCACCCGTCATCCTGTAAATCGCACCCGCTCCTATATAAATTGTGTATGCATCTTGCTTGAGAGAAAAAAAAAACACATAGATGATTGGTGACAAGTTAAAAAGAATATTCTATAAATTTATATATATTTAAATATATATAATGTTGAAATAGAAGAATCATTACAAGTGTTCTTCTGTTTTACAATGGATGCAAATGATTACTGTCAAACTGAGTTTTCCTTATTAATTGCCATTTAAAAACCTTAAAGCACCAAATGTAATATTGTATGTTATGGAACCTGCTAGAATGCGTAAATGGTAGATCAATTTTTGCGTTCGCTCCTTATTTAACTTGGGTGTGTTTTTTTCCTTGTTTTTTTTATAGTTTAAAAGTGGTTGGGGGAGGGACTGGCTTGTATGCAAATAGACCTGTGAGGGAAAATAATGCATATCACTTCCTACTCTGAAGGCTAAACTGCCGCCCCGTGTTCAGATGCTTGGGTTTTATTGTTGTCTCATTTTAGATGTGCATGCCATGGACGCTACTATGTGGCCCTTTTGACATGCTTTAAAACATTGGGGGGGAAAAATAAATAAAAAAACATGTTAAGATGTAAAAATGAAACTGAGCATCTTCTGGGACTCCAGTGATGAAGAGGAAGGAGGCCTAAGGAGTAACAGATCAAAGCCTCAAGCTGTAAAAGTGAAAGAGACACTGTACATAGATAGCGGACGTCACCCCTTCGTCAGGAGCATTTACTCTTCATATACTTTTCTTTTCATGTCTCCTTCTACAGAGACCTCATGATTTAGTGTGAAGAAGGCCGTTGCTTGCAGATGTTTAAGGAATTCAAAAAAAGGGCCAGTTGTATTTCAGTATTGTATCTCGTCCGATTAAGTCTTATCATTGGTTAGTAAACAATGTTTAACTGGGACATGCACTGAGTAGCGTATTGTTGTATGCCATATGTTACTGTTTTTTCGTCTCACTGTTGACTGGTGAAAATTTCTGACTGTGAAGTAGTAAAACTTTCTTTGCCAATATGAAGCCACTGTGTTTGTGATGTATTAGCTGTAGCTGTAGTGATAAACTGGGGGAAAAAATAGGTAATATCTATCTTTCGTTTGTCCGTCTGATAGTTTCTTTCTGGTGCACTGTTATATCTTCCACTGGTGAATGGCTTTGCAATGAAACGCAACCCCCTTCTTTAATGTTTTAGTTTCAGTTTCCTCTTTAATCTGTTCTGGCAGAAAGGTTGTATATTGCACTACGCGTTTCCTGTGATGCAAACGCTTCTATGGTTCTCTCTCTTCTTTTAAATGATTACCTTATTTTGGGTTTGCTGTTGTATATCTGTGTCGAAAGGATTGATTTCTATTCAATTTATTTTTCAGAGAATATCAATAAATAACAATGCAGTCCGTCCTAAACCTGTCAATCTTACTGGGATTCTATGTTTGCGAGTGTTGAAGCACAAACTAAAGTATACTTCATGTGTACTGATGTACTAAGGCTGTCTAATAAATTGGCTTACATTACAAATATGCAATCAGTACATTTTTGCGACATGCTCTGTACAAGATTTCTCCACCTCTACACTGCAATAGTCTCCAAAATCTCAGATTTATCTTTTTTGTTATATGAACATTGATTTATATTGAAATGTATGATATATAAAGGGGTTCCAAAACACTTTGAACACTGAATTGATCAGTTTTTCATTATTATGCAGACTGTACTCAAAAAATAATAATTATATTTTATAATACATATTTATTCATTCCAGGTCTGGAAATGGCTACCTGCTATTTCAAGCTATTCCATGATTAGCGTGGGAGCCCTGTTATATTAAACAAAATATTGATGTGGACTGTTTGACTGGCCACCAACCTTGATCACTGGTTTCTGAATACATGATAGACTAGCTGGCTCTCAACACAGATTTGCAGCTACAGGAAGGTCAAGAGAAGGTCCAGTCCTTTATCTTGAGCAAAATAAATCTTGGTGAAATGGCTGTAAGGAAAAATAGCAACATGACACACCATGTCAAATATTATAGAAACATTTATAGTGGTAAATATAGTATAAAAAAAGTACAGCTCTATAAATACAAACCACATGACAGAAACATAAAAAAACATTATTAGACATTAAATTTGACTGGGAGATGCCCAAAATAATTAGTTCGTTTAAATTTACAAAGCATTACTAAAATGACATTTACCTCAGAAAGCTATATATATTGTAACAATACTGCATAATCTGTAAAAACGTATGCTAATAACTATCCCATTATTGTTTCCACAAAGTGAAATGCACGCTGGTATTTTCACACTGACCTCAATACTGCTACAAACTCTTGTGGGACTCGTTGCACTGTATACACACCACTCAATGATGCATAAATCTTAAGTGTGGCCTAAGATTCCAAATATTTTTTGGGGTCACTGCATATACAAACCTGGAATGTTTAAGCTGCCATAATGCAGCTATTAATCTCTAAAAGTAGCTGTTCACCTAAAACATTTCACACTTTCCATCATTTCCCGCTGAAGTGTTACATGTCTTACATTATCGGTCACATCGCTATGAGAAAATTAGTTGTTTTCGTAAACTAATAATAATGAACAAATGTGACTTTCTTCACAGCTCAGCAGTAGAAAAGTATAATTCCTCATTTAAAGTGACTTTGGATAAAAGCATCTGCTAAAAGAACAAATGCAAACGCTGGTGTCAGTAGGTGCAGGATGTAGTGAGGAAGCTAGTGCTGTGTAGTCCTGAGGCCTGAGAGTGAGCCATGCGATGTGAGACCTCTCTCATGTTTCTAGCTGCCGTGATGGTGCGGGTCAGAGAGCTGTTTAGAGAGCACTGCTGATGGTCCAAAGAGAGAGAGCGTCTACGATGACCTCTGACCCCTGGCCTCGCATCTCTGACAGGACTGACTGAGATGTTAAAGGGCTGTGAGTAGGCCTGTGTCATCACAGGGCTGGAGAAGTAACTGCAGGAAAAGGACAGAATGATTAATCTGTTGTGGACAGTTACACCAGAGGAGTTAGTTGTATGTTACTTAAAACTATTATATAAATAATATTATATGATACTGCTAAAAATATCATGGGTAGTAAGATAAAAAAATAAAAAAAAACTTTTATTCAGCAAGACAGTAAAGTGATAGTAAAAAACTATTTTACAAAAGTTTTCCATTTCAAATAATGTTATTAAATTCTATAATAATAAACTATTAAATAAAAATGTTATTAAATAATAACAATAATAATATACAGTAGGGTTCAAATGTCTTACTTTTTTCCCCATCAACAAATTATATTATCAACACAAGTAAAAAAAATCAATTCAAAGCTTGAATTTCAGAATTATTTGGATCATGAATCAGAATTATTTGAAATCTGACATTTTATTTTAATTTGTCACCTAAAAATAGTTCATTATATTCGAATTATTTCTTCATTTTACGTCATAATGCTTCTGGTTTTGCAATTTTTGAAATCGTAAAACTTTGCTTCCCTCCAGGATTAAATTCGATTTTGAATCTCAGATTTCCACAGAGGTCTCAGACGAGTTTTAATCAAGCCTGCAAAACTCATCGACTGACAGGAAGTTGAGAGGAAGTTGTTCTCATGCATTTTTAGAGTCTGATTCATTGATCAAAGCAGTTGCAGAGGAAGAAGCAAGTAAATTAAGCTAATGGCCACTTTATCCTGAGGTACTCACAGAGTTGAAGGATAGACAGGAACATATGGGACAACTGGAACACCTCCCAGGACTGTGGGGGGAGGAGTCACATTTACACCTCCTTTGTTCCTCTGTAAGGAGGATCTCATTGGATGACTCCCACTGGGGGTCGAGACTGGCATCTGATTGGCTAAATAAACACACATTTGATAGTCAACATGATTCTTGGTGATACAAGTTGTATTAGGCAAATACTTCACATCTTCAGGACGAACTATAAAAAACTAGTTTATAGATAATGATTTATCAAACCTGGTTGAGAGGCTCTTTGATTGGCTTGTAATGCATCACACAATGGGCAGTGGTTGCAGGAAGGCTGTGTGAGATGTGGAGAGCTCCTACTCCTTTTATTAATAGTGTAAAGGACAGGAGGATAGTTCATGAAATTGTAAGTTCAGTAAACTTTAGCCCCCATTATCATGATAAGATGCTTACGTGTCAAAGTACCAGTGCGGTCTGATATGCAATATGGGCAGGCAGTTTCTGGCCCTCGGCTTGATTCGGTTTCATCACTATTGTTGGATCTGTCTGCTGATGTTCAATTAAAATGACCACAATTTGTTCTTGAACATCATACCAAAACCTGGTCATGTCATGTTGAGTTACAACAAAGATCTTTTCTTACAGGTACTGTCCTCTTTGTGATGTACAAATCCTCTGGTTTGTCTTCTTCCTCTTGATGTCATTGGTACCAGGACATGTCTGAATGTTGATGGTCGTGGCTCAGACTGGACTAGCTCAAAATCAGTTGCTGAAGGGTTAACAAAAGCATGGTGAAAAAGTAATTTAATATCTCTATCAGAGCTTAACAGATTCAAATAACCAATATGACATCCAAGCGTTTTGTCATTTAGGACCATTAAAGGGGTCATATGACGTTGCTAAAAAGAACATTATTTTGTGTATTTGGTGTAATGCAATGTGTTTATGCGGTTTAAGGTTAAAAAACACATTATTTTCCACATACTGTACATTATTGTTTCTCCTCTATGCCCCGCCTTTCTGAAACGTTCGATTTTTACAAAGCTTATCGGTCTGAAAAGCGAGGTGTGCTCTGATTGGCCAGCTGTCCAGTGCGTTGTGATTGGCCGAATACCTAAAGTGTGTGACGGAAATGTTATGCCCCTTAACATACTGTGATGCCGTCTCCCGGCGCGACGAGACAAAACCAGTAAACCCCATTATAAACGAGGCATTTGTTACTGATTATAATGACTTTTTACGCGTTGCATTGCGTATCGCGCTGCGTAAACATAAAACCATGTCTGCATTTGTGATTGGAGCAACGACAAACAACAAGCGCTACTCTACACTACTCTAAACTCGCGTTTGAATCATCAGTGGCAAATTCTTTAAATATAAAAACTTACTTACAGGCTGTGAGTCAGAAGCAACAGACTGTCCTTGCTAAGTTATAATTGCCCCACTTTATAGAAACAGGCACCGGCATTATAGGCTACTCTACCAGGATCAGGAAACAGTCCTCCATAAAATGCGCGGCACACTTCTGAATATTTAGGTTGAACTGTTCCGGAATAGTGTTGTAAATACAACTTAACCACTGATTTCTAGTTGTGTCCTCTTTTGGAAGGCCAAACAAAGTAGTTTCGCTTTCACAATGAAACACACAGCGCCTTCACGACATGGCGGTGGCGGCAACAATACTACAGCGAGAATCAAAGTTGCGCCTTCTTTCTTTGCATGAACATTTGGGCGGCGTTATGCAAATCTTCCCACATCGTGACGTAGACATGTGGGGGCGTGTTAGAACGAGCCATTTTAGGTAGGCGTGGTTGACTCTTAACTTTTATAAAGAATATCTCTTTGGATTTGAGACTTTAGTCTTTGCAACTTTACAGATCTTCTTTATGCACCAAGAGCTTGTAACACTCCAAAGAGAAAGGAAAAATTGAAATCGCATCATATGACCCCTTTAAGAAAATCTCTTTGCATTCAAATGTATTCTACTTTGAAAAATGTACATGTAGCTAAACGCACTCAGATCAGTTTGAGGCCGATGTCGACGTAAAGACGCTGATCTTTGCCTCAGAGTGGGTCTTAGTGAGTTTCCTCTCTCTTGTTCTCCATTCCTCCCTCTCTCTCTCTGTCTGCCGCCTTCTCCTGTCTGAAGACCTAATAAATAAGGAACATCATAAAATCACTTTATAAATTAAAAGTTTTAGCTAACATATATAATATTGGCCAGTCTAAGATCAAAATGGCAACAATAGATTTCAGGGACCTTGCGGTCCTTGGGAATGCCTGATCCCTGGTATCTTCCGTGGCAGAAGCGGGCACTCTAACAAGACTGGCAGGTTTGGAGAGTCTTAGATTTCCCTCTAGTCTCTCCTTCAGTCGGTTCACTTCTCGCTGTAGAGATTGAAGAGCCTCTCTGAAGCAAATAAACAACACATAAAAAGCATTTTTTGTAGTCTGAAGAACACGATGGGTTGTTTATACATCAGGTTTAAAAAACAACAACAACAGTGCATGTGCTTCTCAACCATTCTTTATTTTAAAAATAAATACGGATAATTTTTCAAACAAGAATGCATTAAAATCGATCAAGTGACAAAGATATTTATAATGTTACTTATTATTTAAATTTCTGTCAAAGAATCATGATAAAAGTATCAGTTTCCACAAAAATGTTAAGCAGCTCAACTGTTTTAAATTTTGATAATAATAAGAAGAAACATTTCTTGAGCACCAAATGATTTCTGAAGGATCATGTGACACTTAAAACAGTAATGGCTACTGAAAATTCACATTTGCGAACACAGGAATAAATTACAATGATCGATTTAAAAATGGAAAATTAAAAAACAAAACAAAAACAAAAAAGCATAAAAGACCACAGAGCATGTCAAATGTTTTCTTATACAAACAATTTGAAGTTAGCACGCCAAGACACCTCTTCAAAAGTCATGTTTTGCTTCTCTGTTAGAGTTAAGATCAAAACAGGGTTTAGAAATAACCATTCCAGTGTGGACCAAAAAGAGAGTTACACAGGCACTGCCAGAAGAGGTGGGCGTGAGGATGTGGGTAGGTGAATATTTCAAATACACACAGGGTTACTGTTTTATTAATAGCTAATGGTGATTAATGCTGGTTTCTTGATGAGGAGCTGAATACATACCAGCGCACTCTTCAGCTAGTCTATTTGAGAGACAAACTCCTGCTGAATCACAGAAAGGAAAGAATGAAAATTAAATCTAATTATCCAGATGGAACTCTGGCTGTCACGAAGTAAAAAATGATTTCATAGAGACCACTTAATACCACTGGAGTTTTTCCCAGAACCCCTTTACAGTAGAGCCCTGGCTCAAAAGAGCAGCCATAAATCTCTGCTTGTTTGTGCTGCAGTGGCCATGTCAGCCTTTAAGAAACTCACTGGTGATTTGTTAGCTGAACGGAACTTTGGGCTTGGAGGTGGTCACCGTGGTGATAAGGCACATGGAGGGAAGGGCTTCTGTGAGAGCGGATCTGATGGTTGGCTGGATGTGGATATTGGCCATCCTGTGCTTTTTCATCCCCTGATAAGAAACAAAATGAGGAAAGATAATGATACTGTCGTGAACGTGCGTCCAAAGTGACAACAATATCTTAATTTGTGTTCCGAAGATGAACGAAGGTCTTACGGGTTTGGAACAACACGAGGGTGAGTAATTAATGACAGAATTTTCATTTTTGGGTGAACTATCCCTTTAATGTGCCTATCTGGAAGTCAGTTCCAATTAGATTTTTATTTATGTTTGCTTTTTTTTTATCATACATCATGAGATGGGTTGTTTATACATCAGGTTTAAAAAACAACAACAACAGTGCATGTGCTTCTCAACAGGGTATTTTAAACATGGCTTAATACACTACCATTCTTTTTATAAATACGGATAATTTTTCAAACAAGAATGCATTAAAATCGATCAAGTGACAAAGATATTTATAATGTTACTTATTATTTCAATTTCTGTCAAAGAATCATGATAAAAGTATCAGTTTCCACAAAAATGTTAAGCAGCTCAACTGTTTTAAATTTTGATAATAATAAGAAGAAACATTTCTTGAGCACCAAATGATTTCTGAAGGATCATGTGACACTTAAAACAGTAATGGCTACTGAAAATTCACATTTGCGAACACAGGAATAAATTACAATGATCGATTTAAAAATGGAAAATTAAAAAACAAAACAAAAAAAAAAAGCATAAAAGACCACAGAGCATGTCAAATGTTTTCTTATACAAACAATTTGAAGTTAGCACGCCAAGACACCTCTTCAAAAGTCATGTTTTGCTTCTCTGTTAGAGTTAAGATCAAAACAGGGTTTAGAAATAACCATTCCAGTGTGGACCAAAAAGAGAGTTACACAGGCACTGCCAGAAGAGGTGGGCGTGAGGATGTGGGTAGGTGAATATTTCAAATACACACAGGGTTACTGTTTTATTAATAGCTAATGGTGATTAATGCTGGTTTCTTGATGAGGAGCTGAATACATACCAGCGCACTCTTCAGCTAGTCTATTTGAGAGACAAACTCCTGCTGAATCACAGAAAGGAAAGAATGAAAATTAAATCTAATTATCCAGATGGAACTCTGGCTGTCACGAAGTAAAAAATGATTTCATAGAGACCACTTAATACCACTGGAGTTTTTCCCAGAACCCCTTTACAGTAGAGCCCTGGCTCAAAAGAGCAGCCATAAATCTCTGCTTGTTTGTGCTGCAGTGGCCATGTCAGCCTTTCAGAAACTCACTGGTGATTTGTTAGCTGAACGGAACTTTGGGCTTGGAGGTGGTCACCGTGGTGATAAGGCACATGGAGGGAAGGGCTTCTGTGAGAGCGGATCTGATGGTTGGCTGGATGTGGATATTGGCCATCCTGTGCTTTTTCATCCCCTGATAAGAAACAAAATGAGGAAAGATAAATAGTCATATCAGCATTATTCAAGAAAATTTATATTTTTATGGTTGGTTGACATTTTATCGGCATGCCAGCTTCCTTGGCTTTTTTTTATGCCAAGTAACCATAAATACCATGAAATACTATGAAAGAGCAATCTAAAAATCCTTTTCTTTTGGTAAAAACTCAAATGATTCACGGTTGAATTTTCAAAAGCATTCTTCACAAGCATTTAATTTATGTTAACTATATATATATATATATACACACATACATATACTGTATATATATATATATATATATATAGACAATAGAACATAAATTAATATTAACATCAATTAACCTGGATTAATGTTGTATAAAACTATACATTTAAAAAACAAATTAACTAATGTTGATATATTTCCAATTTTATGTATTATTTTTATTATTGCTGCTCTTATTTTAGGTTAATGTTAATTTATATACTATTGTTAATTAACATTAACAATTAATTAAGTAATGTTAATTTATCAAGCCTGAAATGTTGACATTTTTTTGCATTGTATATTAAGAAATTACCATAAGATTAATAAACGCTGTAAAGTGTGTGAAATGTTCTTTATTTAGTTCACGATACATTAACTCATGATTGGATGAACTATTGATTACAAATTGAATCTTATTATAAGATTTTGCCAATTATTATTGTGTCTTCTGTATGCAATTTTTTTTACATGCTTTTTTGTGTGAAATGTCAAATCTACACCCACCCTGATCACTCCCATGCTCTGATTGGCTGGTCAGGCTGCTCGGCCAGGGCAGGAGGGTGCTACTGGGCCAATGAATGGGGGATACTGAGGGAGAAAGGCTGGAAGAAGAACACCCTTCCTCCCCACCTCTCCTCCTAACAGGACCCGTGCATCCTTTAGACTTGATGTGTTCTCCTGGGGGTATTTGAAGAGGGTTGTGAATGAGAGGGGGAGACCGCAAAAGGCTGTCTAGAAGGAGGAGCAGACTCTGGTCTTTCTGTGTTCTTTGTGTGTGGGCCAGACGGCCTGATGGAACTGGAGAAAACATCAGAAAGAGAAAAATATAAAAATTATACATTTCCTAGGATAGCAAAAACAGTCAACAAGATTTTCATATTTTCTGAATAAAATTTGAGTGCTTTTTCGCCCATTTTATCATCTAAGTGTCATACTTGAAAAGTAAAACACACCTCTCCTCTATAAACCAAAAGATTTGAGGTATCATGGATGTCCATAGCACAAATGGTGCAGGATGATTCCCTAACCCTACTTATGAGCAGAAACACCACTAATGCATTATAGTTCAGTTTTTATTTTTATTTTTTAAATTACAGGTCGAAGTGCTGTATACAGTGAAGGTGCTTCATACCTTGCCACTGTCCTCTGCTGGAGAGGACTGTGTACAGCAGGAGTGAGCTGACTGCTCTCAGAGCCCATAAAGCCACTGTCTGTCTCTGGAGACTTGACCCCATCCTACAGACTTACAAATACACGTAAGAGCTCTACTTAAATAATATCAAAATTCTATTACTCATGCACATTAAGAAATAAATTGTGATATGATATATATGATATATAGTGTTGTTCATCACAAATAAAGTATAGTCACTGACTAGAGGGGATGCTCCGATAGTCTTGGCCTTAGCGTTTAAGCCCATAGTTCTGGGTTCTGTGCTCTCTGCTAGGCTGGTCAGGCTACTGCTTTGAGTTTTCCTGTTTCCTGACGCTTTCCTTTCCCTGCCCAGTTGCCCTGGCAACACCGAGGAGTGGCAAAGAGCCTCTGGGTGAGTTTCCATAGAGTCACACACCTGTGACCTGACAGATGGGCCGGAGGGAGGGACACAATCTGCTGCTGCCTGCCTAAAGAAAGAGAATGAAGAGATGAATGAGAGAGCAAACAGCCAACACAGGTGTTGATAATGGTGGAGTGGACTGAACTGCTGTTACCCTCAACTACCTTACAAAACCTGGTAACAACATACAGCTGCTGTTTAGATAACAAACACAGAAATATCATTATTGTGTCTGTGACAATAAACTTTTCATCACAGAATTACAATAATCTGGTAGAATGTCAGTAGGAACAGTGGTTTCTAAACAGTGTTATTATCATTAGCTAAAACTATTACATTCATTTAAATAATGAAATATTGTTTACAGCTTACTGGAGAAGATCAGGCACACACAAAGCTGAGCGAATCACTGGTACAACCCTTCCCACTCTCCAAGAACTGTACTCATCCAGAGTGAGTAAAAGGGCTGGCAAAATTATTCTGGACCCCTCACACCCAGGCCACTTCCTCTTTGAACTGTTGCTGTCAGAGCACTGAGCATCAGAACGGCTAGGCATAAGAACAGTTTCTTCCCTCAGGCAATCCATCTCATGAACAGTTAACTTGGCAATAAACGTGTAATACACAACATTATTTATACATTTATTTAACACGCATACTTCTTATTTACATTTCCTTGCATTTGTACGTAACATACCTGTACACACAAGTAACATCTATTGTCTTTTTTGTATACTGTGTATTTTTTTAAATATTTTTTGTATATTATTTTCTATTTTCTTATCCAATTTTTTATTCTTTTTATTTTCTGTGTCGTCTTGTCACTGTTATTCTGTGGAAGCTTCTGTGACCAAAACAAATGCCTCATACGTGTAAACATACCTGGCGATAAAGCTCTTTCTGATTCTGATAATATTCCTCTCTTCTCTGACATACTGCTAGCATACCTAATGTTCACTCAACCTATTCTTTACTGCCTAAAGTTACTGACCCCTTTGAGCTTCTAAAAATGTGAAAAGCTGATGTGAAACAGGCTCAGGACTCACTGCTGAACAGATTCCGTCGTCTCTTGCTCATTAACAGTCCTATGTTGTTGTCTGTTCATTAAGCTTGTATTCCCAGGCGGAGCAGAGACTCCAAAATCCAGCGAGTCATGGCTCTTTAAAGTCACAGTTGGGTCCAGCATCCCAGGGAGCTCTTTAAAACTCTGATAGCTGGGTATGAAAATAACAAGAGATCGAGCTTGACATGTAAAGCTGTTCATTCTCACACATGCTGGTCAAAGGTCACTCACCAGTCCATGAGCTTACAGAAGTCTTTCTCTACACGCTGGTGTTTGTCATAAAGGGGATGAAGAAGAAATGGGAGGATCTCCTCTTCCCCTCTGTCTGCATCACTCTCTCCGCTAATTGAACTAACCTCCATGCCAACACAAGCATAAATGCATGTTTATTGTTACATGGTGTACTCTACCATTATGTGAAAAAATGTATGTTTATATTATATTTATTATATTATCTCAGGTTTGGATCTGGACGATGATACAATAATTGGTGACGTCTGATCTTAAGTATCTCAACATATAGTGGGAAGAACATAACAAAGACTGTGTCGCCACCCATTATGTAGATGCTAAGACCATCAGAGAAATAAAGCCCTGTCTTGCCCGCCCACGTGACAGACCCTCAGATTTACTGCAGACTAGTGGCTGAACCACAAAGGAGCACAGAGGAGACTCACGTACAACAGGGCTCATGAAGCAGGCCATTTAATGATGCTTTCCACTGCTGGACTTACCGATAAGACAATGGATAGAGTAATACAATGAAAATACAATGTCAATAAGCTGATATCCATGCACCTTACCACACACACACATTCGTGACTTAGGTGTGAGGTAATGGGTTTGGTTGCTGTCTGAAACCTAATGGAGGCGAATGACTGAACCCTCTTGATAAGTCCCTGAGACACTAAATCATACTGAACATAACCTCAACATGACCTCTGAGTCTTTTGAATAGAACCACCCATTTATTCTGGACCCCTCACACCCAGGCCACTTCCTCTTTGAACTGTTGCTGTCAGAGCACTGAGCATCAGAACGGCTAGGCATAAGAACAGTTTCTTCCCTCAGGCAATCCATCTCATGAACAGTTAACTTGGCAATAAACGTGTAATACACAACATTATTTATACATTTATTTAACACGCATACTTCTTATTTACATTTCCTTGCATTTGTACGTAACATACCTGTACACACAAGTAACATCTATTGTCTTTTTTGTATACTGTGTATTTTTTTAAATATTTTTTGTATATTATTTTCTATTTTCTTATCCAATTTTTTATTCTTTTTATTTTCTGTGTCGTCTTGTCACTGTTATTCTGTGGAAGCTTCTGTGACCAAAACAAATGCCTCATACGTGTAAACATACCTGGCGATAAAGCTCTTTCTGATTCTGATAATATTCCTCTCTTCTCTGACATACTGCTAGCATACCTAATGTTCACTCAACCTATTCTTTACTGCCTAAAGTTACTGACCCCTTTGAGCTTCTAAAAATGTGAAAAGCTGATGTGAAACAGGCTCAGGACTCACTGCTGAACAGATTCCGTCGTCTCTTGCTCATTAACAGTCCTATGTTGTTGTCTGTTCATTAAGCTTGTATTCCCAGGCGGAGCAGAGACTCCAAAATCCAGCGAGTCATGGCTCTTTAAAGTCACAGTTGGGTCCAGCATCCCAGGGAGCTCTTTAAAACTCTGATAGCTGGGTATGAAAATAACAAGAGATCGAGCTTGACATGTAAAGCTGTTCATTCTCACACATGCTGGTCAAAGGTCACTCACCAGTCCATGAGCTTACAGAAGTCTTTCTCTACACGCTGGTGTTTGTCATAAAGGGGATGAAGAAGAAATGGGAGGATCTCCTCTTCCCCTCTGTCTGCATCACTCTCTCCGCTAATTGAACTAACCTCCATGCCAACACAAGCATAAATGCATGTTTATTGTTACATGGTGTACTCTACCATTATGTGAAAAAATGTATGTTTATATTATATTTATTATATTATCTCAGGTTTGGATCTGGACGATGATACAATAATTGGTGACGTCTGATCTTAAGTATCTCAAGTAATCTCAACATATAGTGGGAAGAACATAACAAAGACTGTGTCGCCACCCATTATGTAGATGCTAAGACCATCAGAGAAATAAAGCCCTGTCTTGCCCGCCCACGTGACAGACCCTCAGATTTACTGCAGACTAGTGGCTGAACCACAAAGGAGCACAGAGGAGACTCACGTACAACAGGGCTCATGAAGCAGGCCATTTAATGATGCTTTCCACTGCTGGACTTACCGATAAGACAATGGATAGAGTAATACAATGAAAATACAATGTCAATAAGCTGATATCCATGCACCTTACCACACACACACATTCGTGACTTAGGTGTGAGGTAATGGGTTTGGTTGCTGTCTGAAACCTAATGGAGGCGAATGACTGAACCCTCTTGATAAGTCCCTGAGACACTAAATCATACTGAACATAACCTCAACATGACCTCTGAGTCTTTTGAATAGAACCACCCATTTTCCAACACAATCATTATTATTACAAGACCAATACCAGAAGCAGATCATCAGATCTCAATTAGCAGTCTTACCAGCCTATACATAAAATTTTCACATAGGGGATCCCATAATTTGTAAATGACTTGACCCCTACCCTACATCAAACAAATATGATATATTTCTGTCTGAATTTTAAGTGATTGGAAAGGCCATTTCCATTTTTACAGTTTTGTAATTTATCACCCACACCTATTCCCAGAAACCACAACTAAGTCAATAAGGGATTAAAGTGAATGAACCCGGTCTATCTCAAGCTGTTGTGTCTGTTAAAGCAGAGGCAGATGGCCAGGGCATGTGGCTGAAGAACTTAATGAGCATTAGAGAAAATGCAGCTGGAGATGCTAAACCGCACAGAGAAAGAGCCTAAAATTAGCTACATTAAATAATTACCAACATTGCTCTTTTAATTTAGTTATGTAACAGTAAAACTAGACATGACATGACATCCTGTTTTAATCCTGTTGATGGCTCAGGTCTAGATTTGTTTCAGGTCACTTTGTCACTTCACACTGTTATTTATTAGCTGTTTTCTACACTGAGGCAATGTATGACCGTATCAGACAAATAAGCAGAGCTCGTTTCATCAAAACAAATGATAATGATAATGCCAATTAGGCTGTGCATCAATTTAAGTATTTAATCAATTAAAAAATATAATTGCATGTTTTTTCATATATAATTTGTGCATTAACTGTGCAAAAACAAAGTACTTATCTGCGTACATTTGTGTTCATATACAAGTATGCAGATAATATGACTTGTACAAGTAATGCTTTTGTATGTACACTGCTTATTGTCTCAGTTTGTATATTTGTTTGCTAGCATTTCTCTAAAATGGTTTGTGTCGTCTGAGGTAAGGAAAAACATCACAATCAGAGAGAGCCCGCAGTTTGAGAATGAGCCTGTGCTTGAATACGATGGTGCTGTTAAACTGAGGGCTGTGATTATGGTGGTCACAAAAGAGATTCTGCATTTATATTGTGTTGACTCAGCCTGAGGAGTCTAAAAATAGCTCTCGCCGACATCAGAGCACACGCAGAAAGGAGACAGGCCTGCTGATACGAGGGCGAGTATGGCACTGAATTCACGTCAACCTTCAGATGAAGGGAAAAAAGCATAAAACCATAAACACAGTCTGTAAAGCCAACCTTTGCTTCAAGGCGAAGTCGGTCGATAGTATTTTCAGCTTCTGCATACTTGGCAAGCAGCCTGTTATAATCTTCATGTGAGAATAAGAGAGAGAGGAAAAAATAAAAGACATAGATAAAGAAACATTACAGATGGCTTCATCTTTCACTGAATTCAATGATGAAGAGCCTTTAACTGAAAAATGAGTGTTTACTATTGTCATTTTGCATTATTGACACACTATTTTCCTAATTAATGCGGTTCAGTTGCTTTGACACAATCTGTATTGTTAAAAGCACTATATAAATAAAGGTGACTTGACTTGACTTTACTTTTAGCCTGTTGGATAGATCAGCATTATTTTGAGTATCATTATGTTTGTAATGCTACACTTTTTACATAAAAAAAAAAAATTGTCAAAACATAGTGAAGAACTAGTGCATACTGCAAAGGGACACTTAAGTTTCACTTAAACTTCCCTCTCTAATGTGAACAGGAAGCAGTACGAATATCAACCAGGATTTAAACATCTCGGACTACTTTTACATAAAACTGCAAATATGTATAATATTTAGAATATTACTGTTTAAAATGTTTATTGTTGCATACTGAATATGATTTGATTTACTTACACAGTATACACTCTGTTCAAATGTTTGGGGTTAGTATGATTTTTTAAAAGAAATTACTAAGCAGGAAAATTACATATTAAGCAGGAACCACTCAGCATATCAGAATGATTTCTGAAGGATCATGTGACACTGAAGACTGGAGCAATGGCTGCTGGATATTCAACTTTGACATCATAGAAATAAATTACATTACAAAAAATATTAAAATAGAAAACAGTTATTATAAAATAGACAGTTATTTTAAATTGTAATAACATTACAAGTCTTGGTGAGCATAAGATACTTTCAAAAACATTAAAAAAAAAATCTTACCGACTGTATACTATGGAGTAAATAGTATACTAGTATTTCACTTCATGTTCATGCACATAATACATTTCAGTGCTTCCTGATTCACTCTTTACATACCTGTAGCTGCTGCATCAGTGTGCTGGCCTGCTGGGGGCAGCAGAACTCCTCTGGTACTGTGCGGTGTGGACGCTTGTGGGTCCCACTGGTGGAGGGACTTCCTGGAGACCCATCAGAGCTGCTCAAAAGGACCTCCCTCACGATCTCAGCAGGGGACTTGAACACTACAGGAAGATCCAGGTGTGAAGTTCGATCATGAGGAGGTTGACGGCTTTTAGGAGGTTTGTATCCACTCTTTTTCGGGAAACATACCCTCGGCTCCACTTTGGATAAATCAGGTAAGGGGTGATTTAGCTGTCCTTTCCTAAGAAAACATATACAGCAATAATCAGTTCAAAAATAATGCTAAATTCAAAGTATGGACTAATCACATTATGGTTCTGTTGTTTTAAATTCTGGAAATATAATCTTAAAGCAGTACAACAAATTACATTTTCAAAATGTATTTCATTTAAATTAAGGAATAAATATTTCATATACGTACATATAGTTTTAATTCACTTTTAATATTATTCATTCTTTTTAATATAATTTTTTGCAGAGAAATGTATATATTATATACTGATAAAAAAATATTCTATTTAGGGGCAACTCTAACAAATTATGGGTCAAATGATTGCATCAAAAAAAAAGAGTCTTAAATCACATTATGAATTTGTGTCTATTTTTTATCTCACCTGATGTCATCTGGATCAGTGTGAGAGGTTTTGAAGGTTCTGTGGTTCTTTATTGCTGAAGACCGGTGAGGTGTAGGAGGTATGAACGCTCCGAGGGGGAGACGCTTGCTTTAGAAATGCACTGTGCTGGAATGGAAACCTGATCGTCACAGGAAGCTGGGTTTGTTTTTCTAGGAGTGGGCGTTGGAGGCTGCAGATTGTGGTTAGGACTGTGTAGCCCTACTTTTTCTCCACTTGTACCATCTTGGTGTGTTTTTCCAAGTCTGATTTTTATTACAGGGCTTCTGGCTGAAGTTTGAGGTGTGACCTTTGGTTTAATCTCCTCCCCTTTTGATCTAACCGAGTGGTACGTTTTAGGGGTGCTAAGAGATGACTTTGCCCTAATGCCTGGCGCTGGAAATGTTTCAGCATCAATCCCACTGTTATTCATCAGTTCCCCTGAGGACAAATGGGGAAACCTGATGGGATTACAAGTGTTTCTAGAGATACGATGTGAGACTGGAAGAAGTTGTCCATTGGTTTCCTCAACTTCCTCACAATCACTTTGCTCAGAATGCTCTGGGATTCCTGAAATTTGAATATTTTGGGGGATCTCACTGTAATCACAGCTCTTTACACTTTCAAACATAGATGCCATCTCTTTTGTGACAGATAATGTTTGATCCATGAATCTCTGAGCATCTTCACATGTGTCCTTCTCTTCTGTTTCCTCATCGGTCATGTCTAGCACTGTGTCTCTCTGTGCGAAAGAGTTTAATTTGTGCCTGTGAATTGTTGGGCTCCTTGTACCATCCTCATCTATTATATTTAGGGGCAACTCTAACAAATTATGGGTCAAATGATTGCATCAAAAAAAAAAAGTCTTAAATCACATTATGAATTTGTGTCTATTTTTTATCTCACCTGATGTCATCTGGATCAGTGTGAGAGGTTTTGAAGGTTCTGTGGTTCTTTATTGCTGAAGACCGGTGAGGTGTAGGAGGTATGAACGCTCCGAGGGGGAGACGCTTGCTTTAGAAATGCACTGTGCTGGAATGGAAACCTGATCGTCACAGGAAGCTGGGTTTGTTTTTCTAGGAGTGGGCGTTGGAGGCTGCAGATTGTGGTTAGGACTGTGTAGCCCTACTTTTTCTCCACTTGTACCATCTTGGTGTGTTTTTCCAAGTCTGATTTTTATTACAGGGCTTCTGGCTGAAGTTTGAGGTGTGACCTTTGGTTTAATCTCCTCCCCTTTTGATCTAACCGTGTGGTACGTTTTAGGGGTGCTAAGAGATGACTTTGGCCTAATGCCTGGCGCTGGAAATGTTTCAGCATCAATCCCACTGTTATTCATCAGTTCCCCTGAGGACAAATGGGGAAACCTGATGGGATTACAAGTGTTTCTAGAGATACGATGTGAGACTGGAAGAAGTTGTCCAATTGGTTTCCTCAACTTCCTCACAATCACTTTACTCAGAATGCTCTGGGATTTCTGAAATTGGAATATTTTGGGGGATCTCACTGTAATCACAGCTCTTTACACTTTCAAACATAGATGCCATCTCTTTTGTGACAGATAATGTTTGATCCATGAATCTCTGAGCATCTTCACATGTGTCCTTCTCTTCTGTTTCCTCATCGGTCATGTCTAGCACTGTGTCTCTCTGTGCGAAAGAGTTTAATTTGTGCCTGTGAATTGTTGGGCTCCTTGTACCATCCTCATCATCAGTCCAATCCTCCAACAAAACACTTCGGCCATCATCTGTTTTGTGTTCTTCCTCTAAAAACGAGAGAATGTGAATCTTTTAGACCACATGGACTATTTTTATGATACTTACACTACCATTCAAAAGTTTGGGGTCGTGAAGATATTTGAAAGAAGTCTTTTATGGTCACCAAGGCTGCATTTACTTGATCGACAATACAGCAATAATGATAATATTGTGAAATATTAGTACAATTGTACTAAACAAGTACAAGCTGAATTTTCAGCAGCTATTACTCCAGTCTTACGTGTTACCTGATCCTTCAGAAATCATTCTAACATATTGATTTTGATGGTTGATATTTTTGTGGAAACCATGATTCATTAAAGTTAAGTTGAGAAAGTTAAAAACACACATTTATTTGAAATAGAATATGTTGTAACGATGTAAAAGCATTTACGGTCACTTATGACCAATTTAATGCATCCTCGCTGAATACTGATTCCAAACTTTTGAACAGCAGTATATCTATGGATGAATAATGCTTTTATACAAAATTAAAATCCCTTTATTACACTGTTACTATGAAGTAGCTTTAAGCTTTTAAACTCAGCTGGATGTGAGATCCTTATGCAGAGATGGAGAGCGGCAGTCATCTCCAGTGGCCTGAGAGAGTGGCTCAGAGTCCAGCAGCTCACTCAGGTGACAGCTTATCTCCTCTAGTGCAGGTGGTGGCCCATGCTCAGGCTCAGGGGTCTTCACATCCCACAACGTGTGCAGTGCATTTTATGGAGGACTGTTCCCTGATTCTGGTAGAGTAGACTACAATGCCGGCTGTTCTGACTCACAGACTGTAGTACGTTTTTTATATTTAAAGAATTTGCCACTGATGATTCAAACACGAGTTTTGAGCAGTGTAGAGTAGCACTTGTTGTTTAACCTTAAACCACATAAACATTTCATTACACCAAATACACAAAATAATGTTATTTTTAGCAACATCATATGACCCCTTTAATCCAAAAAATGCACTTGACCTGAAGGTGCACTTGACTTGACTTTTTTGTTTACTTTCATATTAAACAATAAGTAAACACCAGTCTGGGGGGTGAATGGTGTGTAGTAGTTGTTTCATCTACTACAACCCACAACCTTCACAGAGCCCTTGGTCGCCAATGGTGACCACACAACAACAATCTCTGCCGTGCCCTGCCGTCCACAGGCATCAAAGGATCATTCTCAGAATAGCCAATCAGCATTCAGAACACTGCTTCATGGCAAAGATGAATAGCTGTGAAAGAACTTTCATTTGAACTTTCAAATGAAAAGCCCCTTATAAAAGAAAACACTGTTCCATTTTTCATTTTTTTAAACTAAATTTGGTTTACAGGCCTTAAATTGTGTCACTGCCACATCCAGAGCTGTGCATACACTCTTAAAAATAAAGGTGCTTCAAAAGGTTCTTCAAGCGATGCCATAGAAGAACCATTTTTGGTTCCGTGGTGAGCTCAGCCAAAAGCAAGCAACATGTATTCTATATATAGACAATTCCCTGTTACTGTACTTAATAGCCTACATAACCGTGCCCCCACACACACAGATAGAGCTGAACAGATTAATAAAATGAACAGTGAGTCCTAAAGCTCCTTAAGGGCCAAGAAGATCCACGGGGTCTGAGGAAGAATATTTGTGTTGTAATCATTTTTAAAATCAAAACAAGTGCGTTGGGTCTAATCTAGTCATATTCTAAAAAATTTAAAGTGACCCTGAAAAGACAAGCACACACCTTCTTGAAGTTTCTTTATAAACTACAAGAATGCATATCTCATGTCGTCACGTTCTGTGTGTAGCAGACCCACTTGTGTGGATGTAACTTTTGCTTGTTGCAACTAACAATTCCAGAGAGACACACAAACCGTAGCAATCTGTCAGCATCCTCCGCCAGCGTGAACACAAGCATAGTCGCCGAGGGAGTCTGCTAATCTCCTGAGTGCAGTGCGTTCTGCAGCATACGTTAATTAAATGCTTGTCTAAATCTCCACCATCCATTCAGCGAGCCTGTGGTGAGCAGTGTTGGGGAAAGTTACTTTTAAAAGTAATGCATTACAATATTGTGTTACTCCATAAAAAAAGTAACTTATTTCACTTCATACTTATATATATAAGTACAAAGCGAAATGTGCCAGTTTACTGTGTTCTAGCGTGGAAATCTTTAACTTTGCTTGCAGGAAAATCCTAACACACTACAACAAAGACGTATAAATTAATTCATTATACAGCATTAAATCTAAGAACAGAGAGAGACGTTGATTTGAACTTTGAAGGCGGGGCTTCGCTGTCAAACACTGAATTGAAAGTTTTGATTGGCTCAACAGAGAAGAAGGCGGGTTAAAAAGACCCACACCATTCATATGTTCCAAATATCAATCTTTCTCTTTAATATCACTATGAAACTTTACTATGGAAGTTTATCTCTCTCTTTGAGATGTCCTTGTGTAGCTGTACACTGATAGAGCAACACGCTTATCGTTATAGTCATAAATCAACCCCCTTTAAAACAGTTGTTGTGATACCATTGTCAGCCACATTATGGCGCCATATAATGGCTTTTTAAAGCTGTAGCTGACTGTAGTGGAAATATTGCCACACATTTTAGCCATGTATGCCTGCACAGTATTCTTTGGAGTACAGGTGAATACGATTGTACAAGAATATGGTGCACATATTTCAAAGCACCATAGTATTACCACCCACTGGTTCCACAGGTTGTTCATATAGTGATTTTATTTATTCATACAATTCTTAAAAATATCAGGTTTTACATCAGTTTATTTTTTGACACTAACACATACTAGACAAAAAATATAGACCTGTATGCAAAATGAAGCCTGCAATCAATTATTTCCTCATATCCTGTGTTTTCCTCATCCAGCCATGAGCTATATATTGTTAATGAGGCTTTCTATTTGCATTGTACACCTCTAATGGTTTTCTCTGTGCTTTGACACCTAATGAATGAGAAACCACAAAATGCCTTCTGCTTGCAGATAACTAACCAGTCCAGATAATCATGTGTTTGTTTGTGTATGAATCGGTTTGATCAAATGGGTTTCAAGGCATGCTAGGGGATTACTTCATATTTTAGTGAGACGTGAGGGTCTATTAATTTTACATTATCTTACTGATTATAGTTAATGAGATTTGTACCTGCCACAAAGCACCAGAAACTGGTGGGAGTTGAAGAATGGGAAGACAAAGGGGGAATTTTCTTTTTTCCTGCAGTTTGTCTTTATTGGAAAATAAATACACACTTTCTGTATAAATACCGTAGCTGTGTAGTCTTCTCTTTAAACTGTACAAGAGGCAGACAGAGAGAGGAACAAAGGCAGCGGGTTGTTGAGGTAAAACAATTGGAATGAAATAAGACAATAAAAACGAATAAATACACGATTCTGGAAAAGTACTGTGCAGCGATGTTTCAGCATATGTGCTGATGTTCAAAGGAATTATTTTGAATGCAGGTCAAGTAGGAGAGCTCAAGCAGAAATTTTGACTGTCATTCAAATGCTGTCAGTCACAACACCAGCAGATATCAACAGGATGAAGAGGCTCAGTCTTTATCTTCTTAACTGCCAATACTCATCACTTATGAAGTCATAAATGCTGTTTTGAAAGGTCATCCAGACCTGCATTTGGTACTCTCCACAAACACACTTCACTTTAGTGTTTCATGACTTTTTAGAAGCATTACCAGTATTAGATATGAAATATACCCATCATCAAATGGTAATTTTGCCTGTCCCACATCAGAGGTCATGACCTTCTTAACTGTATCCAACACAATTCATAATTTTATCAACGTTCTTTAACAATTTAACATCAAATAAGTAAATAATTCCTCAATTTTTATAAGTATAGTTGTAGGCCTATTCCCTGTATGCGTCAAACCCAACCCTGTTGTAGTTAATTTAATTCTATTAATAACATTTTGATCCACACTTGCATGACAGCTTAATTTCAGCTACATTTGCAACCCTGATAATTCTAGTATATTTGTTCCATTATTTTTTAACTTGATAAATTTGGTCTATTTTGATTTTGATTTAATATTTTTAATGGCCTTTTATTTTTTATATTTTCAGTTTTTATTTTAATTCAAGTTTTAAACTGTACATTTACATTTTCCAAATTTTGTTAACAAGGTTATAAAAACTACAAACCTCACTGAAAATGAACAGAAAATAAAACCGCTAGTCTGACCTAGGTTTGCAATCAACAAATAAGCAGCATTTCATTTTTTAGGACTTTCAGGACGAATCCTGAACATTCGATCTTGATTCTGTAAATGTGTTTGGGGACTTGTGAGTAATCGTATGTTTATGCATATTTGAAGGTCAGTACGGTCAGACATGCTTTGTTCTTTAATCTGTATTCCTGTCCACCAATGAAAACACAACAGCTCTGTGGCTCCACACGTGTGCTACAGAGAACTGATCTCCATTTGAAGAGCTGCATCGGTGGGTTGAGAGATGCTGGTGCAAAGACCCCTCTCTCTCCTCGGAAGCTTTTCATACTGATACCTTTGTGCATTCAGGACTTTGCCGTTAATGTTCTGCATCCATGGGACGAGCATCGAAGCAAAGAGTACATATCATTCTTAATGCTGTCTGTCAGGTGTTTGCGGAACTGAGATTTCAAGGGAGAAGATTTGACTGGATAAATGCTTTACTGCATTCAGATGACTGATGAAAGTACAAATACCCAACTGCAGGAAGTAAAAGAGACGAGGATAAAACAAATATGCAACAAAACAAACAAGTGATAAAATCGGAGCAGCAAATCCATTACATTCACAGCAAAAAAAATGTTTTCTTACACAGTATTTTGTCTTGTTTACTAGTACAAATATTTAAACAGATCATATGATGCGATTTTAATTTTTCCTTTCTCTTTGGAGTGTTACAAGCTCTTGGTGCATAAAGAAGATCTGTAAAGTTGCAAAAGACTAAAGTCTCAAATCCAAAGAGATATTCTTTATAAAAGTTAAGAGTCATACACGCCTACCTAAAACGGCTCGTTCTAACACGCCCCACATATCTACGTCACGATGTGGGAAGATTTGCATAACGCTGCCCAAATGTTTCCGCAAAGAAAGAAGGCGCAACTTTTATTCTCGCTGTAGTATTATTGTTGTTGCCGCTGCTGCCATATCGTGAAGGTGCTGTGTGTTTCGTTGTGAAAGTGAAACTACTTTGGTTGGCCTTCCAAAAGAGGACGATATCTGCTTCGTCATGCCTAGAGCTGATCCGTGCTTGTCACTAATGAAATACATCAACTTCACGCTGTGGATCGCCGGATCGGCTTTCACCATGGACGAAGCGGAGTCCAGCCCGGGGTCGTCACATGTGGTTGCCGCAAGCCCGCCCGCCGCCGCTCACTCTAGCCGGCCTCCGCTCACTCAAGGCCGCAGTGTGTTACGCTGTGTTTCGTTGTGTAAGCAAAACTACATTGTTTGGCCTTCCAAAAGAGGACACGACTAGAAATCAGTGGTTAAGTTGTATTTACAACACTGTTCCAGAACAGTTCAACCCAAATATTCAGATGTGTGCAGCGCATTTTATGGAGGACTGTTTCCTGATCCTGGTAGAGTAGACTACAATGCCGGCTGTTCTGACTCACAGACTGTAAGTACGTTTTTTATATTTAAAGAATTTGCCACTGATGATTCAAACACGAGTTTTGAGCAGTGTAGAGTAGCGCTTGTAGTTTGTCATTTCTCTGATCACAAATGCAGACATGGTTTTGTGTTTACGCGGCACGATGCAATGCAACGTGTAAAAAGACAGTATAAGTCATTATAATCCGTAATTATGTCCCCACTGGATGCAACAAATGCCTTGTTTATAATGGGTTTTAATGTTTTTGTCTTGTCGCTCCGGCCGGGACAAGGCATCACAATATGGTAAGGGGCGTAACATTTCCGTCATACGCTTGAGGTATTTGGCCAATCACAATGCACTGGATAGCTGGCCAATCAGAGCACACCTCGCTTTTCAGACCAATGAGCTTTTGTAAAAATCGACGCGTTTCAGAAAGGCGGGGCATAGAGGAGAAACAATAATGTACAGTATCTGGAAAATAATGTGTTTTTTTAACCTTAAACCGCATAAACACATTTCATTACACCAAATACACAAAATAATGTTCTTTTTAGCAACGTCATATGACCCCTTTAAACAGTACTAAAACAAGACATTTACTTGAGAAGCAAAAAGATATCAAGTCTTGTTTTCTAAAAAAATATTAAAATTAAGGAAGTTTATACATTTAAGAAGAATTTAAAGAAAAAAATCTTGTCCCTTTGTATTAAGATTATTTTTACAAACACACAGCTTTTCACTTCACAAGACTTAATTCATGGAGTGGCGTCATGTGGATTACTTTTGGATTATTGTGATGTGTTTATCAGCTGTTTGGACTCTCATTCTGACGGCACCCATTCACTGCAAAGGATCCATTGGTGAGCAAGTGATGTAATGCTTTCAAGTTCTCAAAATCTGTTCTGATGAAGAAACAAACTCATCTACATCTTGGACGGCCTGAGGGTGAGTAAATTATTAGCAAACTTTCATTCTGGGATTAAATTTTTTTTTTTAGATATTTGTACTACAAAACAAGACAAACACTAAGTTAAGTTTTTTTTTGCATCTATATAAGTTGTTCATTCTGTCTTGCCTGTCTTCCCTCTGAGCACCTCAGCTATATAAAGGAAAATAATTAAAAATTATATCATCAACTTTTTACAAATAATTTACTTAAAATATATAGATATACCATATATACACTGTTCAAATGTCTGAGACTAACAGGCAACACACTGTGTGAGGGACTGTAGAGGAGGGAAAATGGTGGCATATGTGATCTAGGTGGGCTTAAGATGGCTGTCATATTAGAGAGGGTGGGCAGGTGGAAATGAGCAGTCCTGTGCTTGCACTAGTCAATATTTCAAAGCTTCAGGTAGTTTTTACTCTGCCTCTCACACACACACACACACATCTTGGCTTTGTGAGACTGTTTCACACTCTGCCTCTGCATTCAAAGACAGACAGACAGACTCACACATTACAATAACACCATTTCTCAATTTCCTCTCCCACTTGTTCCCTCTTACGTAACATGACTTTGTGTTGCCACCTTATCCCAGTCTGAATGCCTTTTTTTCAATGCATCAATCAGATCCCTCGCTGAAGACCTAAACTTTTCATTAATTTCGATGGCTGCTCGTCTCTGATTGCAATGTGAAGTTCTTGCTTCACCACTCATAACTGGATAAAGGGTCTTCTAATTTTCTTGCTAAATCGAAATAAATCTGAGAATGATTTTTCTTTCTCTGAGACTCTTCACAATGCCGGTGTGTCCTCAAAGAATCTTCTCAAAATCTATTGAGCTGCCTTGCTGTCTATGGCCTATATAGATAGCATCCCAGCTGAAATGTGAATGATTTGGAACACTCTATGAAGTAAGTGAACAGGAGAATCGACTCGCAATTGATTTCAACAGTTGGGCATTAGCATGCTGCTGTTTTTAACTGTACTGAATTTTAAAACTCAACATTTTGATTTAGTCAATGTTGATTTAGGTCAGTAGTTTGGATTTCTACTTGCCCTACCATTTTTTTCACTGTCCCCAACACACACAAAATATTATATAAAATATGAATTTCTGTATAATTTTTTATATTTCATATATATATATATATATATATATATATATATATATATATATATATATATATATATATATATATATATATATATATATGCTCACACAGGATGGCCTTTCAAACAGTGACTGGTTTCAAAACACCACAGAGGAGGATGAGCTGAAGTCTAGCATGTAACAGGATTCTGGGGGTTAATCATGGCAAGACATCACGGTCGCGGTGCATCCCAGTTTACTCCGTCAGCATCATGGGACTCGTACGGTCTTATAGAGCAACATTGAACTCTGTGATCAAGAAGTCAATGTAGTCCTTCTCTTTGGTTTTAAAGGCCTCTGCGATGAGACGTGCGGCTTCCCGATGTTCCTTTCCTCTGAGAGACACTCCGTTTACTTCGAGGATCACCTGACCCACCTTCAGCTGTCCACAGTTACTAGCCGAACCACCTCTCTGTGTGAAAGAAAATGGAGATAGTTTGACAAAATGAAGATTAATTGATTTAATGTTTGACTCAGACCAACTACGTTCACATAGAAGCAGAATATGGTTGTCAGTCCGGTTTTGGTGCTAAATACACTTGCAGTCACACAGATATGGTATTTATAGAGTAGATTTGGCTCTGAGTAGAAAATCATATTCCCTCTGGGTAAAAACTGAATTTAGATTGAATATATGCCATTTGTTTGTGCATTTCAACTGGGAAATCAAAGAAGGACGTATTCATCAAAGTTGAAAATTAAAATAATTAATCACTGAGTGATCCCAGGTGGAGAAATGATTGATAGTTTGCTGAAATCCCAGATTTAATCACACTAGAGAGATCTGAGACATGTCTGAATCTGAAATTAAGTTGTTCATTTAGTAAGTTAACGTTTCTAAGTTGAAGTGTATACTGATCCTGAAGGCAGATCCTACAGCTGCTCTCTGGTCACTTCAGTCTGGTCAAGAACAACCTAAAAAAAACTGCCCAACACAGATCAGCGTTTCTATTTTTAATTAACATGAACACTATTAAAAATAGTTTTTGTTAATTTAAATAAAACTGAAATAAAATATAAAGCTTAACAGAAATAGAAAAAAATTATAAAAATGACAGAAGCACATAACAAAATTACTAAAACAAAAGAATTTAAATGAAAATATAAAAAATGTAATTCAAAAATTCTAAATAAATACTAATAAATAAATTAAATACTATTAATGAGTACTTTAATACAGAAATAATACTAAAGTAATCCTGAATGGGATATTTCAGCCAAAAATTAAAATTCTGTCATCATTTTTTTAACCTGATGTTCCAAACCTGTATGGCTTTCTTATGTGGAACACAAGAGAAGATGTTTTGAAGAATGCTGTGTGCCACTAGAGACTTTACAAAAAAATATTTTTCAAAATGTCTTCTTTTGTGTTCCATAGAAGAAAGAAAATCATAGAGGTGTGGAACAACATGAGGGTGAGTAAACGATGAGAGGATTTTCATTTTTGGGTGAACTGTCCCTTTAAGTGATAGTGCCAGCTCCTTCAAATAATCCTGCAGCAGTCTCTGTAAACACTTGATAACACCAAAGAAATGTGTGCTGTCTTTGCAGTCAGAATTTCTGTACATACGGACAATTCTGAACTGAAAACAAACCGCTGGTATGTTTTAACCACCTTTGTTTCTCAGGATAAAAAAAAATAAAAATGGCAAAGCTATAAGAACCTCACCTGGAAGTTACGTACACCCAACCAATCAGATTACAGATTACAATTTTTTTTGGGAGGAGATGATTTAGAGCAACAGATTTTAGGGTCCCTCATCTTCCAAAATCCAAATTTAACCCCTTTAATCCTTGGCCTGAAACTATTGCTCATAAATCAGCCTGTTTCAGAGCATGACAGCACTTACGCAACAGGAAGTAGTAAACTAATGGAGGTTAAAATGCAAGAGTCACTCACTTAGATCTCACCAGCACAGTCTTCTTTCAGTCTTCTTTCATTCACCGCCTCAAAATGATCAAAACAAAAGAGCTCCACATTATCTAATCTACAGGCGCTTTTGTTATTGGATTTTCATTATGATACTGATGAACCGATTACAGCCGGGGAATTAAAACCCACTCAAGCCTGTCCATTTCTCTCCTCCCCAGACGCACTTTCTACATCTCTCAATCTACATTTACTTCCTTTCTTCTAGCTTACTTTCACTGTCTCTTACATTCTTATTTTTGCTCAGTCTATCCCGTTCTCCAGCGTCTGCTCTATTTTTGTCTCTCAAGCTTTTATTAAGAAAGTGCTGATTTGCTGCTAAATCAACTGTTAATCAGTGGCACTGTAATTTCAGATTCGTCTTTCACAGCCGAAGCAGTTCCCTCCTTAAAATGCACATTATTGCCTCTCCAGCGCGGTCGGACGTAGAAACGTCTTCACAAAAGAGACTTTCACAAAATAAACTCGCTCTACAAATTGCACACCTAACCACCAGCATTCCCACAAGCCTGTTCAACAGTGTGCTTGAGATTTTAAGTACTAGAAAAGACAGAATCAGGAATAATCCACTGCCACAATGGCATCAAACATCAACAGCTGCTTCATGCACTACAGCTGACTACAACTGGAGGTCTATAACATGCTCCTGTGCTCATTATTCAATTCAGCAAGTCTGTCGGCGAATACTTTCCGTACCCACTGTATATATGACTGACGGCAGGGAGCACATGATTGGGACTCATTTTGCTCTGCATTGGCTTTAGACCTGACAGAGGGTTTTGAAATTGTATAATCAGCTGTAAAACCTTGCAGCCGCCCAATAGTACCACAGTATTACTTCATACTCAGGTTCAGTATTGTTAGATGAACTACAACGGGAGAAAATGTGTGGCGCTTGCCTGTACAAAAATCACGCTATGTTGCTAGGATGTTGGTCAAGGTGCTGGAATTTAAAAGTTGCTATGCGGATGCTAGGGTTTTCTAGGAGGTTGCTTACTAAACCAACTCAAAAGAGCCCCCTATACAAGTCTCCATGACATTCTCGCTGCTAGATATGACTACCGTTGCTCCCGTTTTACCATCTTCCAGGTGACAATCAAATAATAGAACAGTAATAGAACTCCTCTCCTCAAGCTTCACGATTTGTGGTGTCATTCATATCTGAAGCACAAACAGTGTGAGATTCATTAAATATAATACTTAAAAGGTTATTCAGTAATTTATATCATATAAAATATAAAATAGAAATTCATATAAAATGTTAAAAATCATATTTATTCACATATAGTAGCCTAATAAAAATATTTTAAAATATCGCCTCATGGGAGCTGGCATGTTGAGATCACATGACCAGTAAAATGTTACTTACTTTATCTTAGTAACCCTCCATACTATTGGACACTTTTGCTCATGGAATAAATTAAATTGAATAAATGAAGGCAAATAAATTGGAATAAATTAAGACAAAAAGTGACTTTCTTTAATACCATCAGTAACATATATCACAGTTTCCACAAAAATATTTTAAATTAGAACTGTTTTCAATGTTGATAATAATAAGAAATGTTTCCTGAGCAACAAATCAGCATATTAGAATAATTTCTAAAGGATCATGTGACACTGAAGACTGACGTAATGGCTGTTGAAAATTCAGCTTTGCCATCGTAAGTATAAATTATGTTTTAAAATATTTTAAAACAGAAAAGTTATTTTAAATTGCAATATTTTACAATATTAGTGCTTTTACTGTATTTTGATCAGTATTTTTTATCTTTTTTTTTTTTTTTTACATAAAAACATGTACAGGTGCATCTCAATAAATTAGAATGTCGTGGAGTGTATGTACTTTATATATTTGTAATATATATTTTTATTAAATCTGACTATTATAATATATTATAAAAAAATATTTTACTTTATATTTATTATTTTATATAAAATAACTCTGTATGGGCTACTCACCTGTATGGTAACGATGCGTGGGAGGGGCTGACGTGTGTTTGCCCCACCTTCTATTGCGATGCCCAGAGTACTGGTGCTTTTTGCCACTCTCACTAGAGTGGATGTAGGCTCCAACAGACCCGGCTGCAAGGTAGATTCACAGACAGATTAGAGACAGGATGGAAAAATGGGAAGAGGAGGAGAGAAGAAAAAAGAGAGACAAGAGAGTAGCAAATCAAAGAGAGGGAGAGAGAATGAAAGGGAACAGAGATAGGAAGCAAAGACACATTTGGCTTTGATGATACACATTGCTTTGTGTCTGACGGCCTAAAATAGGGCCATGGGAAGTGGCTTACGCCCAACCACAGTGTCCTCAGATAGCACTATTAGTTCACTCTGCGAGATCAACAACACAGCTCATGCGTATAAGAAAGCCGGGAAGCAAATAGCTAAAGGATGGCCAGAAGGAAGACGGACGCGTCTTGATTCAGCACACTGAGATTGTTTTTTCAGAGAGCTGTTGGATCAGTGATATGAGATGAGATGAAGTGGACGAGTCAACAAAGAAAGAACAGAAAAACTAAAGGAAATGTATGCACCAAAAGAAGAAAAGTGAAAATTAATTGTTAAAAGTCAAGCACGCTCAGTCAGAGGGAGGAAACAGATTTATGCGACTGCACTCTTCTGTCAACACTCTTTCACTCTCATTCACACTTTTAACACCAACCCTCTGTCACTGTCATTGACTCTCACACATCCGTCTCTCTCTCTCTCTCGGTCTCACCGGTTTGGCAGATGTTTCTCCTCCTCCGTGCCCATCCCGAGGGATTCTGGTGCGGCTGGGACGTGGGCTGCTTTCCTTACTGAGACGTCCAGATTCGGCAATGTCCACACCGCTGTCCTCGCTGAGGGTCTGTCCGCTGTCTGACAGCTGGGATAATGTCCCTCCTACAAGAACATTAAGTACATTTATATACAGTTATAATCGAGTGGTTTTTGTGTAGTCCAGCTACAGTCTCCATCTGTTTTTCCAAAAATACTTGACACGTAATGGAATATTTAAAGGATTAAATACACGTTATGTGTTTGAGCATGTGCACAGTGCCAAGGGCCGATTAACTTACACAGGCTGGACAAAGCTGAGTCACAAATGTATTATCTATCTCTATTAGTCCAACTTTGCAAAAACCAGACTTAAGTCTGGAATACACCACTTTTGCTCAGATTTTTGCACCTTCGGTCTGTCTGGAGACGTCATCTCTAATTGCCAAAGGTCACTGCCAGTCTGTAGATCTTGGTCATTTTGAGCAGGCTCTGTTTTTTTTAGCTTCAGGCTATGATTCCATCCTGATTAACTTACACAGGCTGGACAAAGCTGAGTCACAAATGTATTATCTATCTCTATTAGTACAACTTTGCAAAAACCAGACTTAAGTCTGGAATACACCACTTTTGCTCAGATTTTTGCACCTTCGGTCTGTCTGGAGACGTCATCTCTAATTGCCAAAGGTCACTGCCAGTCTGTAGATCTTGGTCATTTTGAGCAGGCTCTGTTTTTTTTAGCTTCAGGCTATGATTCCATCCCATCGGAGGATATCAAACATTTTTGATATTTTGAGCTGATATAGGAACACATACCCTGCATCTGAATATGCCTACTTCCATATTATATAGTAGGCGAAAAACATTATGTGAGCCGAGTATGTCCAAATTCATAGTATTCATAACAGTAGGTGAAAAGCACCCTGATGACCTCCTACTTCTTGCAAGATTCTGAAGTGTGCATTTGATGGACACTTTAGTATCCCATGAGGCCATGGGAGTGGATTCGTGAATGGCAGTGAAGCAACCCACTTGACACCGTATGTCCCATGACAGTGACAACATGGCGGATGCAGTATTTCCGAATTTCATTCAAACTAACATTCATACTAGTCACCTTTATATATACTATATAGAACACATAGAACATCCTTAATGGTCACAAAGCAAGTTTCAAACCAAATGTAGTACCTACTATACAGTATGCTATTTCATACTCAGTAATAATATTTTTATTGTCATGCGACTTATGCAACCATTGACCAGATTTTAAGTCATTTAGTGCATTCCAGTATTTATATGATTTCAATTGGACTAAAATGCTTTAAATGTCAAAAAGGCAAATTATTGCTTTAGTCAGACTGAAATTGAACTGCATGTAAACAGTTGATAGACAGCTGAAGTCATATATTTACATAGTCCTTGCATAATCTGCAGAATGTTAATAATTTTAAAAACCATAAAAATTGCTTGTTTTAAAGAACCAGGTATAAAACAAGCACAACCAGGCACTAAAAACAAGTATCTTTTATTATTTTTATTATACTATTTTGTTAAAATTATTACATTTTACAGATTCTACAAGGTATATGTAAATGGATTACCGCAATTGTAGATTACTTTGTATTACTTTCCAAAGTAGTTCCCAATTAATCATAATTAATTTAATTTGTTAAACCATAATTTAAGTCATAAATAATTCAAATCTCATGTGGTTATTTTATCCATGCAACACAAAAAGAAACTGATTGAATGATTTAATTTTAATATCTGGCTGAACTAATTATTTTAAAATGATCATTTTTCCTTTTGAACATTGAGGATAATGACTTTTTAGCCATTAAATGGGTGAAAATAACCAGAAAGGATAGAAATTGACAGCTGGTTAATGATATATTAAATATCCGCAGCTGCCCACAACGCATCAAATATTTCAGTCTCACCTCGCACTTGTGGCAGCGGCCGCACCTCGTTCACATCAGGCTCTGCATTGGGTCTGTGCACCTCCACCATGACAAAGTGCTGATTGGATGCTGGGGAAGAAGGAGCGGGCTTATCTGGGCAGGGGGGCGGAGGAGGAGGCGGCGGCCCAGGTGGCGCAGGTACATTAGGGGCGGGTGGAGGAATCGGAGATGAGGATTGGACAGCAGGTTTCACCTTACTAGGAGACTGGACCCGGGGGAACGGTCCGATAGTATGCTGGCTCACGACTGCGAGTTGAGGTGCTGGGACATCTATCTTGAGGGTGTCAAGAGGAGATGTGTGAGGTTTGGGTGCTTTTGGGTGTTTGGGTTCTTTGCTCTGGGAACGAGAAGGGGCGGTGAAGTACAAACCCGATTGGGAGGAGCTAGAAGAGGGACGTTTGCTAAGCGTGGCTTTTCGACTGGGTCGGCGCTGAAGCCCTGGGGGAGGAGGAGGTTTAAAGGTAGGAGGGGAATCTGAGGTGGAATGAATCTCATCCTAGGATGAAAGAGGAGGGCGTTAGTGATGCCATATTTCAGGTGATATTTCAAAGGAGATCAATAAAACATTCCGTAATCAATAACACAATCTTCGCAGCTCATAATGTAATATTCACATACACCATATACACCCATACATTAAAACATTCGACAATTACCCACAAATCACTGCTTTGAGGACAAGAACAATCGGTTCATTCAGACCAAGTGGCAAAGCAAAAAAACAAAACAAAAAAAAAACAAAAAAACAGGAAATGAACAAATTAAGGCTGAACGGAGTGTGCACAAGCCAGATGAATGAGGTGTCAGTGCCATTAGAAAGCAATCAAACCGATATGCGAGTCGTCTGCATGTTTTTTTAAAAAAATTTTTTATCTGGGCCTGAACGCTGTCTGGAAACTTTATTTTCACATGCTCCAGACTTGCGCCTGTGGAAGCGCCTGATAGAGCTGTTCTGGTGCTCAATAGGATTTCATCAGAATACCAACAGGAAACTCTCTGAGAAAGACCCCAATCTTCCTCGGCCATCTCTCTCACAACGGGCAGCCTTCAGCAACAGTGTCATCATCTCGTCTATTTCTCTCTTTCCGTCAAACAACCATCAGCTGTCTGAGTAGCCGAGCCTTTACAGCCATTTGAGATAGAGCTGGGCGGCATGACAGTATAAAATATGTCAACAGTAGAGACTACCACTATACTGTGGTACTGTAGATATATTCTCACCAGTGTGCAGGACTTCTTTGCATACGTTATCTTCACATGACAGCGACAAGAAACATGGAGTAAATAAAGATTAGGACTGAAGGATTAATCATTCTGGGGCATATGAAGCACAGTTTAGCAACATCAGTTTGTTTTTCAATGTACAATCAGAATTTCAAGTCAGAATATAGAGTATTTTTTATAATGTTAGTTTTGAAAGTCTTCTGTTTTGAAATCACATATCTGTTCATAACCTGGTTTTGTACTGAGGCCAGAATTATCATTTATCTATTATGAATCAGTGTTATCATTTTTGTCAATAAAAAAAAAAAGCTGAAATAAAATTACATTAAATATTGTGTGAAAAACTAAAACTATCAAATATTACAAACTGAAATAAGCTGTACTTATAAGTACTAAAATGATTGAAAACTGATACTAAAACTGAAATAAAAATAAATTAACACTGGAAACATTTTTATTTATACATTTTATAACATATAGAAAATGAATTAAAATAAATAGTTGTTTTCATATGGCATTTGCTAGATTCAATTTAAAAACTATATATGAAATATGTTGTTATTTTGATACAAAATTACGTTTCCTGTGACATAACATTTTGGTCATGCCGCCCACCCCTATGCTGAGAGTTTTAATAACCAGGTTTCATTCAAAAGCCATCATCAAAACTGGTCATAATCTGCCCCTGGTCATTTTCAAGGTGTTCAATGCCAGTTCTCTATTCCACACACCTCAGCAGATTCCCTTTTTCTCTCTGTTCCCCCTCTTTTATCTTTCCTGTTCCTCCTCAAACTGAAGGGCTTACCAGAGAGATGTCTGGCAGGGCATTGCTACGCTCCAGAGACTGTTCCCCGTTGTTCTCTGTGGCACCATCGTTCTGGGAGAGAGAAAAACAAAAGAGAGAAAACAAGAACAAGAGACTATGAAACAAATGAAAAATACAGCTGTGTGTTTATCCCTTAAACAAAAGTTCAATCCAAATTGCATTCTGTTGAGGGCCCATTTCACAGAGGGGCATCAAAACACAATTGTACAGTCCTACATTTCAATCTCGCATCCAGTCTCATTTTCCATCCAACACGCATCTCTCGCACACAAACACATTTCTCACAGAGAAAAAGAGAAGCCCTGATTTGTGTGCTTGGGTGGAATAAGAGGGAGGTGTTTTGTGACGTTGACGGTTGATTGCATTCAGACCTGTGATTCAGCTCATTAAAACTCCCCTCCACCAAAACATTCACTTGATTTGCTTGTTCACCACTTAACAAAAGAGGCACTTATGGACTAATTTGTTGTATGTGTTTTGGCTGTCATTCTTATAATAATCGTGTTTTTTTGCTGCATATTTGTACAATTTATAATTCACATATTCCACTTTTATATTTCATGATACATTCTAAACTATTCACAGGAAAATCATTTGAAATAATGGAATGACTTTCACAAGTTAAATGATGTGCCCCATACAGTGAATGCCAGTGGTTTTCTATGGCACGGTAAAAGATTTCATAATTTACAACATAACTTATTCACACTTACAAAAGTAAGACTGTGTATTGTGAAATAATAGCAAGAAATGTCTTGCTATTGAGCTGACCTCAAGAGCTGCATGGAAAAAAAAAAAAGTATACAATGCAATTTATGACCACGTGACCACGTGATTTTTTTTTTAGTTAATTAAAACCATACAGCATGAACAGTGTAGTCTGATTCATGAACAACTGAGTCTGATGATTTGGTTCTTTTAATGAACAGTTACAAATGACTCGAGTCGGTTTCTTTAATGAATCGTTACACATGACTCTTATGAGTCGATTCTTATAATGGATAGTTACCAAAAAAAAAAAAAAAAAAGAGAGAGAGAGAGAGAGAGAAAAGAGTTACCAGATTGACTCCAGATTGAATTTTTAACCCTTAACTTTAAATGAACTGCAAGTTATTATTTTCAGTGATTTTTGTATCAAAATGATGAAAGTTTTGTATTAATTTCATAAATATACATACATGTATATATGATTAAAACTACAGTAAAAACTAATATAGTACAATATAATTACAATTTAAAATAACTTTTTTGTTTTTAAATATTTCAAAATGCAATTATTCCTGTAATCACAAAGCTGAATTTTCAGCAGCCATTACTCCAGTCTTTCAGATGATTCTTCAGAAATCATACAAATATGCTGATTCACTGCTCAAGAAACATTTATTATTATTATTATCAATGCTGAAAACAGTCGTGCTGCTTAATATTCTGTTGGAAACCATGATTTTCAAAATGCATATTTACTGTCACTTGCTGAATAATAATAAAAAATACTAACTACAATCTTTTAAGTGCAAAAATTAGCCAATGACATCAAACCACTGGAGACACATTCAGCAAATCTGGCTGGACACAATGTTCTGTTCCCTTCCCTTCCTTCAAACTAAGACAGCAGGGCAGACTCCGAAAGACATTGCACTGTACTGGCTCAGGTCCTCCACCTTCCCACAATCCCCTGCTCTGCTCCACTGGAGCATAAATCAGGACGCTCTCTGCGACACTTCTTTCTTCTTTATTTATTTTGTCTGGGGGGGGGGCTTATCTGCGGTGACAGGTCTGCATATGGCTGATGAGGTGCGGTACCAGGATGAGAGTCCCAGAGCGAGCGTTTCGTCGGAAGGAGCTCTGCGAGGCTGCAGTGTGGACCGCCGCCGCTGCTTCTTGTAATTACCAGAGCCAGAGCTGGCAAGCTTACAACAACACCAATCCACAGAGGAGGGTCACAAACAAAGCTTGCATACAAATACATTCGCTCATTTCCAAAGTGCACACACACACACACACACACATGACCCATGTTGAAGAGGTACAAAGTCACAGCGGACACATTTTTGATTTGCGACATGCATGCATGTACTTATGTCTGATCACTGCAACCCACACATTTACACAGACATGAGTGACTTTGAGAGGGATCAATCCATGCAGAGAATATAAACTGTGCTGTATTCTGTTCCTGTATGTGTGAGTGTGTATTAAAAACAAAACCACATCATCGCAAACTCATTCTTTAATATATGTGTTTGCTAGAGACACACCCAAACCGAAAAAACATGCATTTTTATATTTTAAAAATACCTTTAAAAAAATACCATAGTAACCATATTTTCCACCAAAATATCATAGTTATATTTACTGGTTATGGAAGCTAAAAAAAATAAATAAAAATAGATAAAAGATAATCATTTTTATCTCACATTTCTGACTTTTTTTTTAGTTATAAAGTCAAAATTGCAATAAATAAAGTAAAAATTGCAAGATATAAACTCGCAATTCTGACTCTCTCGCTGTTTTTACTTTTTTCCCACCAAATGTGAGTTTATATATCACAATTCTGACTTATTTTCTCAGAATTGTGAAATATAAACTTGTGATTGATTTTGACCTTACAACTCACAATTGAAGAAAAATCTGAATTGCGTCACAATGACCTTTTTTAAATTTTTTATTCAGTGGCGGAAACAAGCATCCATAATTGGTATTTAAAAATGTTGATGTGACAATTTTTTAAAGAGGATTTGAGTGGTGCTTAATTCTATGGTAATGTGGGTGGTTGCTAGGGAGTTGCTAAGGTGGCCTGTTTGTTTTCTTGTGTTGCTATGCAGTTGCTAAGGTGTTCTGAGTGTATAGTGTTTGTTTGTGTTGCTATGCAGTTGCTAAGGTGTTCTGAGTAGATTTGTTTTGTGTTTTCAGTTGTTATGGTGCTCTGGTTGTTTTTTGGGTTGCTATGCAGTTGCTAAGGTGTTCTGAGTGGATTTGTTTTGTGTTTGCAGTTGTTAAGGTGCTCTGGTTGTTTTTTGTGTTGTCAATGTGGATTTGTGTGTGTTGCTATGAAGCTAGGGTTTTCTGAGTGGATTAGTTTATGTTGCTATACAGTTTATAGGGTGTTCCAGGTGGTTTTAATGTCGCTATGCAATTGCTAGGCCATTTTATGTAAATCTTTTTGTGTCGCTACGCAGTTGCTAGGGTCTTTTGAGTGGATTGGTGTTGCTAGGGTGTTTTAGGTGGACTTGTGTTGCTATGCAGTTGCTAGGGTGTTCTGGGTGGTTGGTTACTGGGAAAAAAACGGCATCATAAGTCTCTATGATATTCCAGTCCCTAAATACTGTATTGTTCAAGTACCTCCTTTAATGTTAATATGATTTTTTTTAGCCATTTCATCGCTCACTGGGCAAAAATCATAAGTCTAATCACTCTGAAAAGTAATAACACACCTCTCCTCAATAATCCGCATCATTTGAGGTATCATTCATATCTGCAGCAGAAATGGTGCAGGACAAACTGCGCTGAATATTACTACAGTACTTAAGTAAGGACAGTAATATATTTTTAATGGTTTGCTGGTGGGAACTACGGTTACTATGGTACATTTTGTAAAGGTAAGCGAGAGATTGTTTAACCTACCTCCATCATATCTATCAGCCAGAGGAGTCTTTCCTGTTTTATTGAGAGGGATAGGGAATTGGGTGTTAAGACCTGTGAACTGAGATGGCTACAAATCTAAACAGCTGCACTTTCACAACGAAACAAAGATGAGCTGAGGTGAGACATGCCTGGACAGAGTGAGACAGGAGGACAGACAGGTTTCGAGTGATGGACATAAAAGCCTCCAACAGAAAGGACAAAAGCTGTTTCCCACAGCAACTTTACAGCCCTTCATCTTGTATCCTAGTAATCTGCAAACGCCTTCTTTGTGCCCAAATTGCCTACCAATTTTGACATGCTTTTTTATGTCTATGTCACACACAGCAACAATGCCATCCACTCATCCCATACCAATACAGAAGCACAGCCTTAAACACTTCCTGCCTGAAATTCTAGATACAGACACTGGGTCTGATTCAATAATAATTGCGCACAAGCATTCAATAGAAACTCATTCTGAACACAGATGTTTCTTCTTACCCGTGCAGAGCTGAGGGTGGTGTTGGTCATGAAGCTGGCTGAGGAGGAGGCCAGTGTGTCAGGGTAAGAAACCATGGAGAAAGAGTCTTGAAACCCAGCTCCGCCACCTTGCCTCGCCTTCAGGGCCTCGATCTCTCGTCTCAGAACCAGGCCGTCAAATCTCTCCACATCCTGAGGGAGCACGAGCCCCCTCACCTCTGACAGCAGAGAGAACTGCAAATACACACACATCCAGAGCCGTGAATGTGACCGGGCTCGTGTTGATTGTTTTTTATCTCAAGGGTTTTAATATGTTCATAAATGGGAATATATTATTAGGTTATACTCGCTGTAAATCTCTGGACAATGATGGCCCAATATACTGGGGACATTTTGGGTAGTGTCAGTATTATGAGTATTATTAATAATAATTCATTCAGCCAGTAAAGTCTTTAATAAAAAAAAAGAAAAAAAATATTTGTGTATAAAATTCAGAAAATTAAAGTAGTTGCACTACCATTCAAAAGTTTGGGGATGGTATGAGATTTTAATGTTTTATAAAACACAGTAGTATTGTGAAATTATTGCAATTTAACATAGTTTTTTTATTTTAATATAGTTTAAAATGTAACTTATTCTTTTATTGGCAAAGCTGAATTTTCAGCAGTCATTCTTCCATGTCACATGATCCTTCAGAAATCATTCCAACATTTATTATTTATATATTATGAATTCAAAAAGTCATTTAAATCTTAAAAAAAAAAAAATTTTGTATAGTATTAACAATAACTAACAATACTGATTTTGGTAGAAACTACAAAATATGATAATACATCAAGCAAAACTGTTAGACTGTTAAACTGTGGCAGATTATTATTCCAAACATGATCACATGCATTTTTTCAGGAAGAGCAATGTAAAGACTGACGTAAATGTCTCCACCTTGGCATGTGTATTGAACAGCTCAAGGAGGGCCATGACCAGCTGCTCAACACCGATGTGACCATCACGGTACTCTTGGATGTAGTAACCCATAGTCTGCCTCTCCGGTTCAGTCAGCAGATGTCTGGCCTGCTCCTCCAGCATGGCCCTGCTCTGGTTCACCAAACTGGACAGAGTCACCTGAGATCCTGCCACACCTTTATAAAAGCCACCCTGAGAAGAATAAAGAAAAGATGAAATGCAATATTAATACTAATATTAAGACACATGTGGCTTTAAAGCACACATTTGAAATCTTGCAACATCACTGGATAAGCCTCTGGTTCACTGCTGATATCATAACTCTCATCTCCGTAATGTCTCTTACCCTCCTCCCTATTTTCTCTCTCTCATGTTTCAGCCTCTTTCCTTGAGAGCAGCTTTCCCTTTAATTAGTCTCCTAATAAAAAAGCACTGCTCCAGAGTCAACATGATCATCGATCAGTGTTTCGCTCAGCCTAGAATTGGCACTCATTCCAGCTAAAGGATGACACCACAACACTTCAGTAAACTAGTCTGGAAAACTGTATAACTAGCTAGGTACTTGCTACATGCCTACCTATTTGATTGGTTTGAGGTTCACTTTGGGTCGATTAGGGGTTTATCGCATGCCTTAAATTCATTTGATCTAGTTATGTCTGCTTGAACAGCCTATTGACTAGTTGGGAGGAGATGCATGTTTGTTGGCCAACTGGTTTGCAGGTGCAGTCAAGCAGCACTAGTGTCTATGTTATCAAACCGTCAAAAGACACAAGGCTTTGAACTGAGCTTGATCAATACAGACAGAGACGGCAGTTGAGGTGAGTGAATGCTGATCATGCCTGAACTATTCTTGCCCTTATTCTTTTCTTTCTCTTTAGAACAAAGTGTGTTTTGTGTTAAACGCTGCAAGTTAGATAAGCTCTATCGTACAGCACTCCCACAGGAACCAATGCATTTCGGTTGCATCAAATGACAGACCATTTATTCTCACACTATTTCAGAGGAAAATTCCCTGACTGGTTTGACCCATGAGCCACATTGAAGAATAACTAGTCTAGAAATTCGCTGTTCTTGCAAACCGAAGGTAGAGACAAAAAGAATGCAATTAAGAACAACACTGGCAAAGTGAACAAAAACTTAGGAAATTATTAAATAAAAAAAACATAAAATGCTGTCCTGACCATATTGCTCTCACCAGGGCCAGAGTCCAGAGAGCCATTTACTATATTTCCTCTTTCTCTTTGTTTTATTCTGAAAACCCCATGATTTCACATAAATTCCCTTAGTTAGAAACTCATGAGGTTGCTGTGCTGTTGAACTCAAATTCATCCTCACCCGGAGAACAAACTGTTTCTGAAACACTGCTGTGGCCAACCACTGCAGATGAGATAAATACTGAGCCCTCAGATCAGTGTTAGTCTGAAACTTACCAGAAGAAAAAAACATAAAATGCTGTCCTGACCATATTGCTCTCACCAGGGCCAGAGTCCAGAGAGCCATTTACTATATTTCCTCTTTCTCTTTGTTTTATTCTGAAAACCCCATGATTTCACATAAATTCCCTCAGTTAGAAACTCATGAGGTTGCTGTGCTGTTGAACTCAAATTCATCCTCAGCCGGAGAACAAACTGTTTCTGAAACACTGCTGTGGCCAACCACTGCAGATGAGATAAATACTGAGCCCTCAGATCAGTGTTAGTCTGAAACTTACCAGAAGCGAAGCTAACTTTATTAAATTGTACATTTTTCATTATATATATTTATAGCATTTAATTTATTCTTTGAGGTAACACAAATGTAAATTCTTACTGTCACTTTTGATAAACTTAATGCATCCTTGCTTAAGTATTTCTTAAACCCAAACTTTTGAATGGTAGTATATATACAGTGCCCTCCAGAGCACTCTGGGATATCGGCTCCATTGCTCAATTACAAAGAGCAAAGCTCAAGCAGAATCTCTCCAACAAAAGATGATCAATAAAACAAGCAAGAAAAATGTGAGGTTTTATAATTCCTTAAGAATGATAGCGGCCAAGATGGGATCGATCATGTGCCATCAGTAGTGTTACAACCTCTATGGTTACCAATTATGACATTACTCGACTGACAGCCTCTTTAAATCACAGGAACACATAATTGCTGATCAATATCATAACTTTAGGACAGCACAATCAGAACAAGTGTTTTGTCCGCCAGAACTGCATTGTGCGACTGCGACTCAGAGAGCAGAAACTCCAGCCGTGTCCCCACATATCACACCCCACTGAATTTGAATAAGGCTTCAATGAGACAATTTATCTCCAGATTGAGCTTTATCTAAAAGGAACTTGAGATAACTCACCTCCATACAGACCGGAAAGCTATTTTCTCTCAAATAAAATAGAATGCAAATATAAAAATAATAAAATAAAGTGTCCTATAGGGGATATGCTTCTGGACTGAAAGAAGTCTTGTCCTTGGATGAAGTGAAGCAAAGTGAAAGTCAGGCAAGTGCGGAGAAGTTCATCCTGGGGTGGAACTGTCAGTAATTACTATAACAATACATAATAATCAACACAACCAAAAAACACTCTGAGATAGATATAGATCGAACAATGGATAGAATGACAGAAAGAACGATAGATAGAGCGGCAGACAGACAGACAGACAGACAGATAGACAGATAGATAGGTTGACAGATGGATGGATGGACTGATAGACAGACAAAACAATTGATAGATAGACAGAAAGAACAATATAGACAGACAGACAGACAGACAGATAGATAGATAGATAGATTAATCTTCAGTCATTCGGTTTCATCAAAATGATGTAAAAACAAATCAATCTAACTCCTGCCGTAAACATTACCTCTAACTGCTAAAGCATAAGACCACTGAGCAATAAATTAAATAATTAGATGATCAAGATCAGTGTCACCTTGGTTAGACATTAATTAAAATGACAAATGCTTGGGTTCGGGAGCTGCTGTCGGTTACAGCTCTATCTGTCTTATTATCAGAGTTTTACTATTCTAACCGACGACATGGAGCGAATGACTACGCTTTTCAACAAAGCACAAGATCTCTGTTCTCAGATGATATTACTGTTTCGGCCTGACTACGGCCCATGCCGAAAATTGGAGCTTCGTTTCCTTCCTCTTGAGCTACATTAAGTCCTGTGCTTCGAAGAGCACTTCTCTCCCAAAGAGACGATAGATTTGTACACCTCTCTTTAGAACAGTGGCAGAGCGGAGCAGTCAATAGATGTCCTAAAGGCACACCGGAGATAAGCTCTCAGAGATATAAGCAAGCGTTCTTATAAACAGACCAATCCAAACATAAAAACAGCTTGTTAGCAGGTAGAAGTTGCACTTTACAGTCCCTTCAAGAATTATCTTGGCCTTGAAGTGCATACTTTTTTTTTATGTTAAAACTTTTTTCTATACCAGTTTAATGTGTAACTATAATAGCACAATTTTTAATAATAAATAAAAATATAATTTTATGTTATTTATATTGCCAAGACAATATAGATATTATATAGAGTTATGGTAATATAAATTATACAGTAAATGTCACCTTTCACCTTAAATGTAATATTGCAGAAGGGACTGAAGGGATTTGCCAAGCGACCCTCCAGATGCATTTTCAAAACATTGTCAGAATTGTTCAATCTTTATATTTGACTGTGCTTTCTTTACTTTGCTAATGCCATTGTGCTGGGCCCCCCTGAGGGCCACCGTAGTTCTTGTCTTAAAAGGGCAATGTCAATTTGGAGAATTCAATTAGCTTCAAAATGAGGGCAGCTGAAATGGGTTTAAGCTGAAATGAGTAGGCAAAGAGGGGGCCGAGTCTCGCTTGGGATATACAGAGATTTGACATCAGGCAATGGAAATAAGTGCCTTACTCAGCGAACATTCGACAAGGTCACACAGCGAGGAATTCTGGCCTGCAAATAAGCAAAAACCGTTTGAGGCAGAATTATTGCAATATTGCAGAAGAGAAAGACGTTCTCTTATATGACCGAGATCCTAGTTGTGACCCCACATCAATGTGACTTGATTTCTAGTATATATCTAGAAAGCGTAAAATACAACCAGACGTGAACTCACTCTCAAATATCTGGATCAGAAATGAGTTTCAGCTGGAGTAAATGCAACAGATATGAACTGGTTTCTGTCTGTTGAATGCGCGTTAAAGTTTAGAATGTTTCTGAAAAGTAAAAACGAACCCTATACAAGTTCAACTTGCTCCTACCTGACCTACAATTAATCAAAGCACACTTCACTGAGCTTCGTACAATATCATCTCATAATATCCAGCGTTTAGAGAGCAGAATAAAAAAATTAAACTGTAATAATTTCAATAATTTTTTTAAATCATTGCATTAAACATATTTACTCAATGTCCTAACATATTAACATTAACATATGCTATACTTAAAATAGACATGATAAAATCATTCAAATATTTTTCTCCTAAATTACATTAAATTGAAATACATTGCCTACAAGGCGTTCCAAATGCCTTTAACCTACAAACTGTATAAAAACATTGGATAAAAAAAAGGAAAGGGAACATTTTGCTTCCTTATTTCAGTCCAGCACGTCACTGAAAAAGATTCAATTTAGATGGCAAGGCATGTAGTCCAGCTTTTACTGTAAATGTAATATGCCTTAAATCAATCACTTCATTTCTGAGAAATGAGAAACTGAACAGACGCCAAAAAACAGAGACAAGCTGTAGCTTTAGTTCAGTCCTGTGCTACAAATGTGGTACATTTCTTCTAGATAGTTCTGATAGTCTCCTCATCTCATCCATTCATCCTCCCACTCGTTGATCTGCTCTTTATCTTTTTCCCATGCTCCTTCTGCTTGTCACTCATGTATCTGACTCATTGTTTCTTCTTTTGTCAGGCCAGCTCGGAGTAAAATATTTCTATTTTGAAGCTCTTACTGTGGGATTAACTCGTCACAACAGCAAACTGGCTCCATTTCTCTCTATATTGCTCTCTTTCTGTTTTCATCACTCATCTCACAGTTTCATTCCAGCTCTCTTTATGGATCAATACCCAGCCTGCCCCTCTGCCCACCCAAAATCGCTTGAGGGTAATTAAAGAGGCTTCACAGTAATCATGATATTAATAAATGATGGTGTTTATTAATTTGGACACAATACAGCTTTGTTTTCCCAAAGAACACAAGAGAGGTATTTGAAATCAACGCGGCAGATATGGGCTCTTGCTTTCTCTAGCGAAACAGCAGATCATTAACTCTGGTTTATCTCCTGGCATTTCTTTTCAGTGTATCACTCCAGTGTTCAAACGCTTGAGATACCATATATGGTTATTACTGGAAACACATCAAACCACTGAGGAATGAGACTTAAAAGACTTAAGAAAATAGTTCACCAAAAATTTAAGTCGTTCCAAACCTGTATGACTTTATTTTTCTTCTGAAAAAGTCAAAACGAGAAATTCTCAAAGAATGTCCATGCTGCATTTTTTTTTGTTTTTATACAAAAAAGTGCTATAAATGGCTATGAAAATACAAAACACCTTGAACGCATCATAAAAGTAGTCCACATGAACTGAACTGAAATAAAGCTATAGTCTAAAGCTATAAAAATGAAAGATGCATAGCTATATATGTTTTTGAAAACTAATTTAAAAAAGCACATAACAAAGCTACTTAAAAAAAAACTATCCTAAAAAAACTGTTTAGGAAACTTTTTCAAAATTGAACAGTTATTGCATGATCAAGAACTGTAATCTAGATTTAATCAAAGATGTTTCATTTAGATTTAGCAACTAAAAGCAAAGTTTGGCAACAAACAATCCCCAAAAATTTTTAACAATTTTATTTAAATAAAAATAATGATTTATATTTACAGAAAGATACACACTAAAAAATGCTGGGTTGTTTCATCCCAATGTTGGGTCAAATATAGACTAACCCAACTCTTGGGTTAAAAAGCTAATTTAAAAATGTAACCAAAATTTAACCCAACAGTTGGCTTAGTCCATATTTGACCCAACATTGGGTTGAAACAACCCAGCATTTTTTAGAGTGTAGAGAGAAAAAGCCACCTGCCATTTAATCTCCTCTGAACCCCTCAACATCATCTGTCCTGCCGTGGAATCACGTGGGGAGTATTATTAAGCAGGATGAAGATGAATAATCCTCATGTTTACATTACAATCTAGGCTCTTTCTTTCTTTTTTCAAATCCCTCCATCTTTTTTCCTTTCACTGCATTTTGCACGCCCTGTCAGTCAAGGAACGGCAGCGTTTTGTAGCTGCAAAACAACCGGCAGACATTTGTTTTCAACGAGCAATGTCGATTTTCAACAACACGAGAGACAACTTAATGCAAATAAGCAGTGACGTGATGCTGCGACTACCGATGGGAGTACAGACAGTTGAGCTACTTAAAAAAAACTATACTAAAAAAACGGTTTAGGAAACTTTTTCAAAATTGAACAGTTATTGCATGATCAAGAACTGTAATCTAGATTTAATCAAAGATGTTTCATTTAGATTTAGCAACTAAAAGCAAAGTTTGGCAACAAACAATCCCCAAAAATCCCCAATCCTCATGTTTACATTACAATCTAGGCTCTTTCTTTCTTTTTTCAAATCCCTCCATCTTTTTTCCTTTCACTGCATTTTGCACGCCCTGTCAGTCAAGGAACGGCAGCGTTTTGTAGCTGCAAAACAACCGGCAGACATTTGTTTTCAACGAGCAATGTCGATTTTCAACAACACAAGAGACAACTTAATGCAAATAAGCAGTGACGTGATGCTGCGACTACCGATGGGAGTACAGACAGTTGACTAGAAAGTTGAGCAATTGACAAGAAGCCAACAGAAAATTCTGGGAGGCCTCCAGAGATTTCATCGCTGTCAGTGTGAAGGACCTTGAGAGTGAATGAGGAAAATTAGGGATGCAACGAAATGAAAATTCTAGGCCGAAGCCGAACAAAATGAAACACTGGGCCGAAGACCGAATACCGAACACGGTTTTTCACATTTTTCCCCCATGTAGGCCTATTTTGCCATTTTTTTCATAATTGCATTAATTCAATTGGCAAAATGTGCTTTTTACTGTTTTGACCTGCTTTTCAAATAAAAAATTAATTACAAAACAACAATTAAAAAAAATTTACTTAACACAACATTTTTTTAACATCCTTTTAACATCCTGGCCATTTTTGAGACTTGAATCAGGCATGTATTTTTTACTGTACAAATAAAGGTAGCCTTGCTGAGCAGAAGAGAATTCTTTTAAAACATTAGAATATATTACAGATTGCTGAGCAGAAGAGAATTCTTTTAAAACATTAGAATATATTACAGATCCCAATTTGAACACTGTGTGTGAATGTTATAATAAATGTATTAACAGAGCTGTTGTAGGGTAATTACTATTATCATTATTATTGTCTTACTTTTTATTTTATTTTACATAACGACAGTAAAATTACAATACTATCATTTATGAATGTCGATGGAGTTGTTGCTTTTTCTCGGCTTTTATTTTGGCAGAAACCCGCAGGAAGATTTCAGTGCTTCTTTTTGTTGACAACAGCATGCAGATTTATAAATGATTCTCATTACGAATTTGGGAAGATGTTTGTCGCACGTATCACATTGTCACATGCCTTTAAAAAAATTCACAAAAATGTTACTGGGCAACTGACGAGTAACAGTTTCAGTGCAGAGCTCATGCAGCGCTGTCAGAATACATGCAATTGGTGCATGCATTCGAAAATATAACATTCTGCAGTTGATTTACTAATCGTTTGAGGTCATTTCGCGATTTCAATCATTATACAGTAACCTAACCACCAGCATCAGCCACCTCGTCTTCTCATCGGAGACTTGATGCAGCACTAAGTCTCTTGCTGTCGGTGCTTGATGCTTGTAATGATTTCTGTGTCTTTCTCTGATAGTTTTAAATACTTTCACACTGTTGACATGTTTGCTGCATTAGCGTGTGCCTCTATTTGGTCGGTTCATATTATTCTGCCTTTTCGCTTATTCAGCCGAACACCGAAAGAGATTTTTTTGCTATTTCCGGCCGAATAATTTCGGTTGCCGAATATTCGGTGCAACCCTAAGGAAAATACTAGGTATTTTGGAATAACGCCTGCCCCGACCACAGCATCCCTGACATTTCTCTCTTTCCTGCTTCTCTATAGTGATGGAGGAGGAAGAAGACGATGGAAGAGAAGACAGCTTGGCTGCTTGTTTCCCCCAAAAGGCTCCAATATCCGGACAGCAATCAGAAACAGTGGCTAATGCACACAGCAATAATGCTTTGTTACAAATCCAGGTCTGTGAGAGGAATAACATCTGCTCTACTGTTATGTCAAACGCCAGAGCATAGTGCATCACTCATTCTTCATTTAGCAAAGTAGTTTAGAGGTTGCAGCTGTAAGGCAAATACAAGACTATAAATTTCCATCTTTAAAAATGCTCACTGAGTCACCTGCAAGGTTGCTGTTGTGTGTGGGTTTGGAGTGTGTTTTTTAAAGGGGTAATATGATGCGATTTCAAGTTTTCCTTTCTCTTTGGAGTGTTACAAGCTGATTGTGCATAGATAAGATTTTACATAGACAACTCTTAAGCTCTTTATGCTATTTTTCTTGACAAGTCTTACTGAAATTATCTGACAGTAAAATATGCAACTAATTAGAAAGGGAATGATGGATTCTAAGAAATAACAAAATAATACAAAGGTACAATAAAATAAATATTAGTCAAGTTTCACTGAATTTACTTGACAGTTAAAAAATGTAATTTCCATTGTAGAGAATGATGGATAAGCAATAGATTACTTCTGAAACTATAAAAATCAAATCAATTTGCCAAAAAAGAAAAAATTGCCAGAATGCATTGCTACTTTTCAATTTTAAAATGAAAATTAACTCAATTACCTGAAGATATTTTAATATTCACAAAAACAATCAATAAATTCAACCGTGAAACACCCTACAGTATATTATTCATATGTTCTTTATGCTATTTTATAAAACGGATAGTTCCGGTCCTTGATTCTGATTGGTTGAGCCGCGTTCGAAGCTGTTGTAAATTACACTACAAACATACACCTTTGTTTACTTCTGTGTGTTGCTCGGCAACCACTTTGTTGGAATCACAACTGTTTCTGAGGAACTACATTGTTCGGTGGAAGAATACTATTTTTATTTATATCATTACACTTTATTTGCAGTGAAACCTTACTACGTATATGGAATAACCGTTTTATAAAAGCAATAAGCCCCGTGAAGTCGTGGTTTACAGTGAATTTATAACAGCTAAGGGGGTTTTAACAACGCCCCTTAGCTGTTATAAATTCACGGTAAACCACAGTTTCTTGGGGCTTATTGCTTTATTACACTCTCAGAAAAAAAAAAGTACAAAAGCTGTCACTGGGATGGCACCCTTTCAAAAGTTAGTAATATGTACACTAAATACTAATATAGACCTTTAAGGTACTAATGTGTACCCTTTAGGAGTACAAAGCTTTCTTTTATTATTTCACATGAGGTTATAAAAACAATCTATAATTTTTTATCTTACCTTGTTGTAGTATTCATTGATAAATACGGTCACTTGGATAAGAGATTTGACCTTTTTGTCTTCCAGTCTGTCTTGTCATCATTCTTTTATACTGGTTTTAATCATTGTTTCTGTCCTTCTTACTCTCCATCTTTCTTCCTGCCATTCTCTAATGAACGGTCATGCTCTGAATACGGACAAAGTGGTGCTTACCCCATCCGTTCATTCATTCATCATTGTACTTAATGGCTGTTTAAGACTTATGGCTACACCAAGAGTACTTAAAGTTTGAGTAATACTAACTCACAGTGACAGGAGCAGCCATACAGACAGACCCACCCAGAGTCCAGACCCTTCTTCCTTAAAACTACCGTATTTGTCAATCACACAGAGGTGTGACCATTTCAAAATGGATTACAAATGTGCAAAAGTTATCACGTTCACACTCTAAAAGGCTTTTATTAGTCCGGAGGGATTTTTCTTGTGATGAACAGCCTCCTCTTCTGAAAGACTGCCTCTGGGTATCAGTCTATGGATATGGCTATGTGCTTCCTGGTTAAGATAGAAAAAGATCAAAAGAGCTGAAAACTTGCAAATGAAAATCTCCCCAAATATCACAGTGAAAGTGTACGACTCCCCTGAGCAAAAGTTTCCACAGCAAATGACTTTCTTCTCAACTCCTCAAGGACCAAAGTGAATTGGCTTTATGTGACGCAGGGTGGACAGCTAAATAGAGAAGGGACCAGCACTCAATATGACTGATAAGAATCATGACAGCTTCAAAACGTAAGAGCTATAAAATAGTATTAAGGTGAAAAGCACGTTGGGCAAAGGTCAAGGGACATCTGACTGCAGATCACAGACATTCAGGCGATTCTGTGTGTCATTTGCAAGTACAAGAAAGCACTTAAAGAGTCTCTGAGGTCCTGTGATTAGGAATCTGGAAGGGCAATCTTATACGATTTTACCGTAAAGATCAGTTTCCAGCATTTTTAGTATTAGCATAAAAATCTTGGCAAGTTTACTTGAATTTACTTGACAGTAAAAAAATAAATAAATAGAGAGAAGAGAATGATGGATTCTAAGAAAAAGATTGCTTTTCAAACAATTTTTTTTTTACAGTAAAATAAAAAAACATTTTATTTTATTATTTCATTTAATTCACTTGACAGTTTAAAAAGAGGGAATGATGAATTTCTTCTTCCGAATAAATAAATAAATAAAAAGGTTTCACTGAATTTACTTTAAATTTAAATGAGCAAATTGAATTTACTAAAATAAAATAAAATATAAATAAAATTTTGTTTCATTGAATTTACTTGACAGTTTAAAAATGCAATAAAATAAATATAAAACAATGGTGTCTAAATAAATTAAAGTTAAATATCTATGAGAAAGAGAGAAATAGGCGAGAAAGAAACAGCATCTGATTTACTGAATGAAAAAGCTTCAAAGGAACTGTGTATGAATCTCAGGCCTCAGGTTGACAATAGGTTGTTAAACAAATGAATTCCTAAAAAGCCTTTATCCTTTTTATGGTTTTAGTAATTTGACTGTTACAAACTACAATACCGCTCCCAGTAAGTCTCTTACCATCCTGCAGCCAAAAAGTGCCTTAATTGTATTGCTCATTATCCATTTAGTACATTTATAGAAGAGCAGCCCAAAGTGAGACTACAATAGAGCAAGCACAGACATTAAGTCATATACATAAAAATTAAAGAACAACACTGCAGAAAAGCACTTTCAAGATAGGAGGAAGACAAAAACAGAAACAGAGGCTGCGGCTTCAGTGAATATACCCTGATTAACTCCAGCTTTTCAGGGGTCAGTAGGGGTTTTGTGCTCTGTGACACAGAGGCTGAGATACCGCTCAGTGTGCAAGCACATTATTCCATCCAATTAAACCTCTACGAGCTGCATCTGCCTCGAAGACCTCTAACATTCTACATTTCGGGTTCAACCTCCTAAACCCCAGGGCTGGAGATAAAGATAAAGGCAAGGAGTGAGATAAGACAACAGATACTGTTTGCAAACAAGTGCAGGTGTTGCCTGAGGAAGAAAGTGCTACTGCCGTCATAATCATTTCAGAGATATGACTAAATTCATCCATCACGACTGTCCTGAGTGTGATAAGCACATTCCTCTATGGGAGCGTGGAATAAACAAATATATTTTGAAGAAGTTGGAGTCCAAACAATATTGGAACCCATTGACTTGTATTGTTCAATATAGACAAAGATCACTTTTCAGAGACATTTTTCAAAATATCTTATTTTGCGTTCTACAGAAGAAAGAAATGAACGCAGGCTTGGACATTTTTCAGCAGCTCTTTTCAAAATGTAACAAGCTAATTCTTCCAATAAGAATGGGTGTCACAAAATGCTATATTGCTGTTGTGTAGTGCTGGGCGGTATGACCAAAAATTTATATCACGTTATTTTTCAAAATAATACCAGTTTCATGGTACATGACGGTATTTTTTTTTTCATGCATGACCGGGTGTTAACCATATTTTCTACTGATTGAGAGAGGAAATACTGCAATATATTGACTTAGAATGCCCTATTTTACTGTCACGATGAGTGAATATTGTCAAAAAATACCACACTAAATAGTGACTAAACACGACCCTTTTTAATACATGTTAACCAGGAGTCACTCTCATTTATAATCGCGGCATCGTCTGATAAAATCAACATGCATCTACACTAAAGAGCGGCTATGCGGTTGTTTTGGCTATATTACTTTTTTGTCTCATGCAGCGGACTGCCTGCGTCTGAGTAACAAACTAAAAAAACAACAAACAAAAAAGTGCATGTGATATTAACAGACGAACTACGCTCATATTTATCATTCCAAACAATCAGTAAGTGACAGGTGCTAGGAAACTCTGTTTTGTACTCATTTATTGACGAGTCGGCTGTGGTGCGGCCAACTGAATGCGCTGCTTCTCTGCCGCTCACTGCACAGAACAGACGCCGAGAGAGGTGACACTTATCCGGGAAAGTCAGACCTCGCGTTCGCTGGACAGCACTGGAGAAATCTTCCAACTGAACCATAGCTAAGGCTTATCCAAAAAAGTCGATAGGTTTGTCAGTATGAGTATTCTATGGAAAAAATCAGCTAAAGTCGCGCTCGTGTGTGTGAGACGCGGGAGCTGATGGCAGGGGGCGGTGGATATTTGTGGTGCTCAATGTGGATATTGTGGATGACTTCTTCTGCGTCATCACGTTCTATTAGTTCTACTGCTTCAGTTTCTGAACTTTCACGCTTAGTAACACATACAGCTGTTCCCTCACCACAGTGCAACAGTGAAATGGGACCCCTCTCAAACAGTGTTGTTCCGAACGTTGTTTAAGCGACATACACCGGTATTGCGGTATTTTAAAAATTCATATCATAACAAAAATAAGCACGGGTATTCGGTATGAGCCGGTATACCGCCCAGCACTACTATTGTGAATGCCAGACTGTATTGTAAACAGTTTTACAGTCGAGTGAGCCAAAGTAATAATCAAACATGCTCTCCTAGACTATTCTCATACGTAACAGTGAGAGTATGATTCATTTCAGTCAATCAGTTCATTTGGACATGCAAATGAAAATGAAAATGATTCACTGATTCATCTTTTTATTCCAAAATATTGTGTTAAATGTTGCTGTTATTTATGTTTTTGACTCTGCTTTTAGTGTATTTCCACTTTAAATAATCAAATAATTGAACAAATTAAATTGTGGCCTTTTAATGAACTGAATCAAAAGATTTTAGTCCCTGGGAAGAACCAAAACCATAAAATAAACGCTATCTGCTCTAACTATACATTCTATCATCTGATATTTATTCTGATTTAAAAGAATTTGAGCTCGACATGAGAAGCTTCCCCAACATTCCATAACAAAGTATTCTAACACCAAAATCTGTCTCTGCTATCAAAATGCCACATACTGGCAGTCACTTTATGATTTCTGATTTGAAAGTCTCACAGTTAGAAATTCTGGCTTTCTCAAATAAATGGAACACAGCATTAATATTTATGAAGTCCGGTAATTCCAAGATGAATCACTTCTGCTTTGAACAAAAAGGGATTTGTTGCCAATACTAATTTATACCTCTTTTCACACAGGTTAGTATATATGGGGCTGCACCTATTGAAGGCAACCTCTCTACAGACCCCCTGGCCATACATCCATCTCATGGGACCTGATAGGAAATAGATGGTTCATCCTCCTGGTTCCATTGATCTGTGCGTTTGTGTTTTTCTGCTTGGCACTGAAACTGGCGTGTTTCTATATTAGGGTGTGGGGTCAGGGGTTCATCTGCTGCTAACACTATAATAGCACGATCACTCTGAGTGCCGGGCTATTTGGATGAAAGCTATTTTTTCACTCTGAAGTGGTGGCTCACACTCATGGGGGCTTATCTGCTCATTTTACAATGGCAGTTCATAGCGACCATAACAGTCAAGCGTCAAAAAGGACAAAAATACACCATAAAAGTAGACTACATTACACACACAATGCTATAATTTTGTTGATATATGTTAATGCACAGTATTAAATTTCATACAGTATATGTGTCATGATAAATCTGTGTGAATCTGCTTTCATGTTTGTGGATTCCCAAAGCAGCAGTGAGGCATTGTAAACACAGCTTCCTGCCAAACCACTGCCCAGAAATCCATCTCTCATCTCTCTTCTGAACAGATATATGGCCTGAAGATAAAACATCCAATACTCTCTCCAACTCTCTCTCTCTCCATGAGCGTATCTGGATCGCCCTCCCTTTAGACTCTCCTCTCAATCCCATCATGAATCTAAAGGCTGGGCACAAAGCAGACTGCCAGCTTAAAACTTTCCTTGACACCACATAATAATGACGTTCACTTCTAATTGCAGCAAAAAAATTAACAATGGAATAAACGTGGATGTCTGGGCATATTAATCAACAGGAGAATAGTTGGAGAAAAATCACAGGCACTTCATGGTGGACTCCAATATTTCTTTCTCCTTCATTCGTGCACAAACTCACTAGACGGAAGTGCTAACTTCAAAGCAGGCAGAGGTAAAACCAGCTGGACACTTTGGAAAGAATATACAAACATGTTTTATCAATCAACAAACCAGCAGCTTTGTGAGATGCCTGTCAGACAGTGTGCAAAGAACAGCTTATCTTGGCATTGACTTTGCACTGACTTCTTTTGTTTTTACACTGAGCTAATGATTATTAGATATTCCCCCAAAACAGAAACCATTTTGCATTTTCATAAAGACCTTATGAAGTCTGTTTACTAAGCTGTTTTCCTCACGGACCAATTGGCTGCTGCTCACAATGTAGGCAATACCTGATTCAAAAGACCGAAAGCAACAAAGAAAAAACTCAAATATTTGGAAAGAAAAAATAAAAATTAACATGTCAAAGAGTTGTGGAACAATTAATGCATGAAATGAGAGAGAAAGATAGACGAAGGGAGTGTGAAATACTCTCAACAGAGAGACAGTTAGAGTTCACGGTATGACAAATTAAGCAAAAAGCAATTAAAAACAGATCAAATGAAAGGATATGGGTTGAAATAGGCATAAATTGTACCTTCAGTCCTCCACACTCTGCTGCAGACCCTCTGTCCACACCTGTGATGTAGATACCTAAAGAGTATTCAGCCCCTCCGCGGATCATGAGACCCAGAGAACGGCCGTCATCCAGAACCAAGTTTACCTGTGATGACAGAGATTGTCTGATTAATAGCTAAATCAAATGAACAAATTACACACCTAAAAATGCATTTAAGATATTTTTTTGTCTGTGTTTTAAACAATATACACTATGTTCAAAAGTCTGGGGTGACTAAGTGAACACTTTTATTTAGAAAGAATGCATTATATTGATCAAAAGTGACACTAAAAGACATTTATGTTACAAAAGATTTCGACATAAATGTATTATGGTTTCAACTAAAAATATTAAACAGCACAACTGTTTTTTTTTAACACTGAAAATAATAAGAAATGTTTCCTTAGTACCAAATTAGCATTATTAGAATGATTTCTTAAGGATCGTGTGATGCTGAAGATCGTTGAAAATTCAGCTTTGCCATCACAGGAATAAAGTTAATGTATTTTTTAATTAATCAAAAAATTGCATTCTAAAATATATTAAAACAGAAATCAATTATTTTAAACCGCAATAATATTAAACAATTTCATTACAGTTTTTACTGTAGTTTTGATCAAATAAATGCAGCCTTATTGAGCATAAAACACTTTGGGAACTTTTGAAAAGTAGTGTAGCCTATATTTTGTACTCTGTTTCTTTCAAATAAATACACTTGGTTTGACATTTTATCTAATGCAATAACAATCAGACATTTTGAAGTGTGGGCTAAGCATCCACACACAGGCTGCTTTACACACACAAACACACACAGGTCACTGAAATGTAGCGCTGACATTACGGCGACAAGGAAATTAAAATATTTACCAAACACAATGTGCTGTTCACCTCTCAAATATAGAGCAGCCATTACTGTGCCTTACAACTATAATTCTCGACTCTAACAACCTATGCGCCTTAGCGAACGACAGTTCTGCTGAACCAGCACAAGAACCAATGTGACTCCCACGACCTCTTCAATGTGCAGCACACAAAAGCAACAATAGTGCTGTGATTAGAATGCATCATAGAATCCCTGCAGAGTCAATCAGACGGGGTCACTGGAGGACTCTGGGAGTTCAATGCAGCAGTGTGCCGTCTCGTCCAAACACAAGAACCCACCAAAAGCGTCTGTCGCCCACTAGCACGCTGCTTAAAGGTTATACTAGCCATCCCTGAAAGGTCAAGGTGGCATATGGCCATACTCCGTTTTGTGTGTGTCACTGTTCATAATGCCAAACATTTATAAATGTCTCTCTCATGAATGGCTCCGTTTATTTATTTTTATTCTTCTTTAGTAGCGTGCTAGAGGCTAAATAGTCTTTGGCTTCCAACCGAGCTTTCTACGCAACTTTTGTTTCGGTACCCAGGAATTTGTCAGAATTACCCAGCAAATTGCTTCAACGTGTTGTGAGACTGAACAAGCAGGGTAGTAAATCAGGGCAGACCGAGGGAGATTTCTGCTGCACTGTGCAGTACTGATGAAGTCGGCATGCTACGCTAGTGCGCTCACTTCCAACGGCCCCGAGGCCCGAGAAAGAGCTCGCGCTCTCCAATAACCTTGGCAGATTTACACCTGGATGAACAGCTCATAAAACTCTCCCTATAAATCACATTTAAAGGGGTCATATGATGCGATTTCAAGTTTTCCTTTCTCTTTGGAGTGTTACAAGCTCTTGGTGCATAAAGAAGATCTGTAAAGTTGCAAAGACTAAAGTCTCAAATCCAAAGAGATATTCTTTATAAAAGTTAAGAGTCAGTCACACCTACCTAAAACGGCTCGTTCTAACACGCCCCCACATATCTACGTCACTATGTGGAAATATTAGCATAATGCCGCCCAAATGTCAAATTCTGGCACACAGGTGAGAACACAAGAAATTACAGAGGGGTGAGGAACAGTGCTACGGCAAAATTGGGGAGTGGAAAGAAAAAGGCTATCACGGTTTTCATAAAAATATTAAGCACAACTGTTTTCAAAAGTGATAAAAATGTTTCTTGAGCAGCAAATCAGCATATTAGAATGATTTATGAAAGATCATGTGACACTGAGGACTGGAGTAATGACTGCTAATAAATTCAGTTTTGCCATCACAAGAATAAATTACTTTTTTAAATATATTCAAATAGAAACCAGTTATTTAAAAATATTTCACAATATTACTGTTTTGCTGCATTTTTAATCCAATGAAGGCAGCCTTGGTGAGCTTGGTGAGACTTCTGAACTAACACAGTAGTGTATCTTTTTGCTATATCACTTAAACACAGGTATTTGTGCTCTATTTATTTTCAAATAAATGCACTTGGTTTGACATTTTATCTAATGCAATAACATTCAGACATTTTGAAATGTGGCTTAAGCATCCAAATACTTCACACAGGCTGCTTTACACACACAGGCCTCTGTAGGTTTAACAATTTCTGGCACAGAATACAAAAAACATTATAGAGAGGTAAGGAACAGTGCTATTTGGGGAGCGGACAGAAAAAGGTTCTCACATTTAAAAGGAGACAAAATGGACAATGTACAGTGATTGATTGCTTAATTTTTCCGACTAACAGTGTGTGCTCACAGTTCCTTAGACAAATAATGACGTGCAAAAAAAAAATTTTTTTTCTCACCCTTGACTGATTTATATAGTTAATTCATATTGTTTAAAATTCATAACAGAGCACCTGCCTACAACTGCAGACGTCTTAGTTTTGTTCAGGTCTGATGGAGACTAACTGTGGAACAGACTCTTTTATTATAGTATAGTATTTGCTGCTTCTTAGTGTTTCATACATATTCAATAATTCTCTGATAAAAAGACACCTAGCCCAAAACACTAATCCGCTGGTTTGGATTTGCTCCTAATAGACGGTATTGTTCTAAATGGAAATGCATCGCTGTCAAGGGTTTATCAGCAGAGTACACTGTGTATGTTTACCAGAAAGACTTGTGTAAAATGCAAATCAAACACACACACTCTAATTCACACACACATCTTGTCGCTATACTGTGTTTTTAACTAATCAAATGAAATGGGCACAAAACTTATCAGAAGTAACAGAAAAAAATCCCAAGTAAACCGAATCAGGCTTAGTTTTAAAGCGCTACTGCCCATTAGCTAGCGGAGATGATCACAGATATTTTAGCCCAGAAATGTGTGTGTGTGACAGTGGATAATGATGACTTATAGAAAAGGGCAGTGGACCACTCGCACTTTGACAGCATTGAGGTTATCATCAGCTGGCACAAATAAGGTAAAGAGCTTTGGTTTAGGGAAATAACAGCATAGACAGCGTTTCATGAAAGACAAGGCAAATTCTTCATCCGCACCTCTCTTACGCACCAGTGGAAACTCATTTCTACACTCAACCTACAGTATACAGGAGCAGAGCACTTAAAACGACATCCATTTATTGAAGCTGGTAAGCTGTAAACAATGCAACTTCGAGTGTTTGAAGACTCTTGCGCATGCAAATTATCAGAAGTTTCCCATCTATACTGTATCTCAATAGCTATGTTACTGTCTCCCACTTGGAGCGAATGGCGGTTTTATTCATTTGTTTGTTCATTGTTTTCTGGGGACAAAACTGCTTTATGAACAAGAAACTATTACAAGAAAATTCTGTTATATTTTCATGAACAAATACAATACTGTTCAAAGGTTTGGGGTCTGTAAGATTTGTTGTTGTTGTTGTTTTGAAAGAAAGAAATACTTTTATTCAGCAAGTTTGGGGTCAGTAAGATTTTTTAAAAGAAATAAATACCAAGTTCTGTCATGAAACTCTAGATGGCGCAGGCTATGGGTCCTTAACGCAACTGACGATATTCTTAGCACTAAACGACTTGTCACAAGCTGATTGGTTCCCGTTGCATACGCAGCCAATGAGCTTACTGCTTTACATTTAAATGGCTGATTAGCATTCGCTTGAGCATTGCAGCGCGCTTTAAGAGTTTCTCTGAAACCCTCCACCTTCCCCAGCTCCACCTGTATAGATCTGCTACGGGCTATTTTATATGCTATTTGTGCAGCAGCAGTATGTCTTAAATGCTCACAGCGCCATATCGGCTTATGTATTGTCAGTAGCAAGTTCCTGTACTTGCTTGCAGCAGCAGCAGCAATAATCTACAAATACAGCAATAACCAACAGCAGCAGCAATTCAGCAGCAGCAGCAGCGTAACAGATCTATTCCGCCAAGACCAAATACATTAACATTGTCATATCCATTACCATGCTAAAATCTTCAGAGTGTTCTCATGATAGAAATACTTTTATTCAGCAAGGATACATTAAATTAAAAAGTAAAAGTAAAGACTTTCACATTGTTACAAAAGACTTCCATTTAAAATAAATTATGTTAATTTTTACTTTATATTCATCATCGAACCATGAAAAATATGTATGGTATGGTTTACAAAAAAAAAAAAAGCAGTAATAATGAAAAATGTTTATTGAACAGCAAATCAGCATATTAGACAGTGCAGACTGGGGTGAAAATGCTGAAAATTTTGCTTTGCCATTAACTTTTTAAAATAGGAAACCGTTATGTTAACGGTATTTCACAATATTACAGTTTTTACTGTATTTTTAATCAAAATCTTATTGACCTCAAACTTTTAATGGTAGTGTATATTCCTATCTTAATTGGAATTTTATCATACCTTCATTACATAAGCATCATGTAGACACATTAAACCAATTGCTATAACATAAAGCATGCATTTAGATGTGAACTTTCACCTTCTTCTCATCGCCGTCCTGCAGAAGCTGCATGTGGCTTCTGCCCTGACTGTTGGTCCTGCGCAGGGTGGCGCTTCGATGCTCCGTCAGCAGGTCAGGGGGTGGGGTCACGCTGCGCCCCTGTGGATCCACCCAGGTGTAGACATGATTTGTGACATAACCGCCCGGGATACGTCCCACAGAACGCACTGACATGGAGAGCTTTTTGCTGCCCTTCAGCACCTGTTAAAGAGTGACAGACAGAAATAGCGGTACAATCAGTCTAGCGTGTCTGCTAAGCGATAAAAGGCAAAGACAGTTATGGGAATGTCAAGATATTCATGCGAAAATGCTAACATTTCCACTCCATAAGATAAAAAGCTCCATCAACACACACGCCGCACACAAAGTAGCACACGGTGTCGACAAAGCTACCTGAAAACTGAAGCTTTGCTCAAACTCAAGCTACAAGTTCCACAATTTAAAGCAGTTAAACATTTTAAGATACTAACAAAAAGCTAAATACATTGAAGCTATTTAAGGGGGCAATATTAAAAAAAAAATTGTTAAAAAATAGCTAAATAAATAGAGAAAATAAATAGATAAAAATAAATAAACAGATAAACAAATTATTTAAAATGTAAAAATATACATATTTTGAAGCTATATTTTGAAGCTATTTAAGGAGGCAATATCTTTTAAATAGTAATGAATAATAAGTAGATATTATATAGAAATAAAATAAATAGATAAAATATAAATTATTAGAAATTAATCAATGGATTTATGAATAAATAAATGGATACATATAATTAATAAACAGATAAAAATAAGTTACAAATAAATAAATAAGATAAATACAAATTATTTAAAATGTAAAATGAAATTATAAATAGATGAATAAAATTAAATAAAAAGATTATTAGATAAATAAATTAAATTAATCTCAAATAGATCAAATTAAATAAATAAATAAATAATTTACAATTATTTCAAATATATTTAAAAATAAATGGAAAACTGACCAAATCAAACAATGAAGATCTATAAGACTTTTAACTTAAACACATAATTTAAAGCAGATTTCTATTTTGATTCAGTTCACCAATAGTATTCAAATAGGGTTCAGATTCACTGAATAATATACACATTTATACACTAAATACAGCTCTAAACACCCTAATTAATCAAAAACAGAGAATTTAACTAAATATTCGTAATATTCATATAAACTAAATATTTTATAAAATGAGGTGTAGACAATTCTGTGCAAGAACTTAAATTAATTGGTGAATCATTTTAGAAGCAGTTCATGTATAAAATAGAACAGTTTTTACAAAGCTACACACTGCTACTGGTTTAAAAAAAAGCTATGTTATTTTGAAAAGAACTGAACTACTGAAAAATAAAGTTAAGTTAACAGAGTTGCTCCAACACTTCTAAAACACATGGGTAGATCTCTGCTCAGAGACATACAACACAGAGGAACATGGAAGTCCCCCGGTGCCTCATTGGTCTCTCATGCTGTGCTCACTATCACTCCACAGATCAAGGGTAGTACAACTGACACTATCGGATGCCACAAATTCAGTTGAGTGTCAAATGACACTGTTCCCTCTTCTACAACACACACACACACACACACTAAGCTGTCATTAAACACATCCCAATGCAACCCCAGAACCTATTATTGGCTTGAACTCAGAGAACTTCCTGTTCTCAGGGTGGCTTCACAGCATCTACTTCCCATGCAGCTCAGACTCCCTCGCAATGCACTTCAGAAACGGGGAGTTTGTGTCTGCAGGCACGCTCCGTTGCGTATCTCTGACCTAGTTCTGCTGAATGTTTATTGAGTTATTTCAGTGGCAAAATACAGTGGTCCAGATTTGAAGTGTAACATAATAAAACTGTTTATTCGTGACTCACTCCTTCCATTGAAAATAAACACCAGTGGTGCTTCATAAATCCCCCAAAAATGTTTCAAAGCCCAAAGTTTGGATTTATTTAGGAGTTAATCTGGTCCGTAAGCATTTGGTTTAGTTTCTTGCCTGGGACGAGATTTGCCTGAGTTGTTTAAGTGGGTGACAAGTTGTTGTTTTTTTAGAATAGGAGAATGCAGAGCAAAGACAAATAAAATGCTGACACATCGGAATGAACAGAAAAAAAAGAGAAAGGGAGATGAATGACATAATACAAATTTCTTAAAGAGATAGTTTACCCAGAAATTACATTCTGATATTTTTTTTTTCTTAAAGTCTCTTTTTTCAATAATATTGTAAAATATTTTTACAATTTAAAATAACTGATTTAATAATTTTCAGTGTCACATGATCCTTCAGAAATCATTCTAATATGCTGGTTTGGGGCTCAAGAAACATTTATTTTTATTTTCAATGGTTAAAACCGTTGTGGTGATTAATATTTATTTATTTTATTTTTATTTATTTATTTTTCAGGATTCTTTGATGAATTGAAAGTTCAAAAGAACAGCATTTATTTTAAATATTTTTTTTTTAAATATAAAAGTCTTTGATGTCATTTTTGATAAATGTATTGTGTTCTTGCTGTATGAAAGTATTAATATCTTTAAAAAAAATTGTTACTGCATCCAGACTTTTGAATGGTAGTGTTTATTATTATATTATATACATATTATAATATATTTTGATGCTTTTATAGTTCTTTTGTGTCTATCTTGACGCTTGAAAGTCCCATTCACTGTAATTGCATGGAAAAAACAACAAGTACATCCTTCAAAATTCTTCCTTTTACATTCCACAGAAGAATAAAGTCATATGAGATTGGAACAACATAGTGAACTACTCCTTTAAGCGACTAGAGGAGAAGATAAAAAAAGCTTTGTCCCTGCGGTGCATACTAACAAATAAAAGAGCGCCCGGCAGCAAGATTCTTAATGCACCATCGCTGCTCTAAAGTGCTGACTGTGACACTGTCTGATGGAGTGTCAACAAATGAGTGGAGTAACCAAATACTATTGAATGAGAGAGAGAGAGAGATGGAGATGGAGGGATGGAGAAGGAAAGAAAGCAGACATCTTATCAAATGCCTCCTGCATATGATATGCCACAATGTCACCTTAGGAAAGCCAATAATGTGGGAAAATGCATTAATAGCCCCAAGCAAGAACGGAAGGACATAATGGAAGAAAATTTCATGCTGCCGAGAGAGACGAGAAATGTAGGGTTTAGCTCATCTAGAAAACTTAAACTCAACATAAAACATTTGCAACCTATTTTACTTCCATAAATGTGACGTTACAGAGGTGGAGCAACACCGTAAGACCAGGAATGCGCATTAGGAAGGAAAGTCAATTTTGATTTCACATTGACTTTAAAGGCCATGAACACTTAAAGCTAATTGCTCCAAGTCATTTCTGATCTCAGCCTGATGGCCTTAACAATTCATATGAACACCAGCACACGCACACACACACTGAGCTGCTAGGCATTCTGTTTATTTACTGTCATTTCCAATGGGACCGATAAAGCATCTGAGGGCAGAATGAGAAATCAAGTCATAAATGCCGAATGTCTGAGCATGTGACGCTCGTGTGCAATGACCAGCTGGCACGGATACTGAAGCAAACAGAAAACGCATACATAAACAGACAATCTGCGATAGTTGCTTTGAATTAGCATAACAAAAAAGGGCCAATTAGATGATCACAAAGGGTAATTGGGTCTGGTTAGCAGTGCCGTGTGCTCAGAATGCGTTTATGAGATTACGCAGACGAGCTAGGAAGGGGCGCAGGAGACATTTGCATGTGATTGAGCGATTCTGAATGAAAACCAGGAGGACAATGAATCTAAAATATTTAAGAATCAATCTAGTACAATTAGATGGATCAGAGGCAGTTTTTGTGCTCACATGTGGTGCGTTTATATCATCCCAACAGTTCTTTCATTTAGTACTGAGTTATGATCTTTGAACATAATTTACACTGGCATTTAGAATGATTTTTTATGTTTTCAAATAAAAGGCTGCATTTGTAAAACACAGTGAAACAGTAATATTGTGAAATAGTATTACAATTTAAAATAACTGTTTTCTAATGAGTATATTTTAACATGTAATTTATTTATCTGATGGCAAAGCTGAATTTTTATTAGCCATTACTCCAGTCTTATTAAAAATTATGACAAACTTATTCACTGAAGCATATAAACCAGGCTGCATGCTTGCTGCAAGCTGTACTCTAGGCTAACGCTTTGACACTTGTAAATATGCAACTACGCAATGCTGGGGAAAGTAAAATTTAAAAGTAACAAGTTACAATATTGCGATTTGCAACTAATTTTAATTACAGTACAACATTTCAAGAAAAAGCAATGCGCTGAGTTACTTTGAAGCACTATGCTCGATTTCCAGGCATTGGAATTGCTTCTTTTCTTTTTTTTTTTGCTGTAAAAAAGTGTTTATTCCCCCCAAAAGACTTAACTAAAATGCTATGACAAGCAGGCTGACCGTCCACCAGTGACTGCCATGAGTCATGCGTTCCTCTTAGGCATTATTGCATAAGCAAAATCTCATCTGCCAAAGCAATAACGAAACAATTTCTCATTTATTTTATATAATGAGAGGCCAGGCACAACAAAGTACAATTTTAACAATAGTTTGTCACTGAAGGATAATGAATTATGCTCAAAGTTCAGTAGTAAAATGGCATAATTTGTCCTAAATGTCATCTGGAGAATGACATGTGTTGCAGGCAGTGAGGTCTGATATAGTTTGACAGCTCCAGACAGCTTTCAACAGTTCTGTCCAGAGCTGTGGCATCTTATGCTGGACGGATCGATCGAACTACGGCAAGCTTCTACAGCAAACATTTCTCACTCTCTCTATGTATCCTTTCCATCTATCTCCCTTCCCTGCTTTCCAACTTCATGTCTCTCATTCATCTCTCATTCTTATTTATGAGTTATTTAGCAGGGGTCGCCACCACATGGGATGACAAGAGGGATGGAAAAGGAAAGAGTTGGAGTGAGAGAGATATAGAGCGCTCGACTTAAGGGCAGATTTTGTGCTCGAATCAGGGGGAAGATTAAGGGAGATTTTTCACTCTTTGACTGAAACATAAGAGAATAGTTTAAGAGGTTTTGCAAACAACAAAAACAGACAAAGCATGGTGGGACATACAAATATAGTACCGACAAACGACAATATCATCTCTCCGGGCTTGTTGAAGACGTCTATGTCAGGGAGAATTGTTTCAGCTAAATCAA